GTTATTGTACTTTCAGGTAAGGGGGGGAGGGGCGGGGGGGAGACCCAGCAATTTGGATGAAGGAAGCTGCAAGACTTTTTTTTTAAGGTTTATTTTCATTACAAAGTCAGACAGACAGAGAGGAGGAGAGACAGAGAGGAAGATCTTCCGTCCAAAGATTTCCTCCCCAAGTGACTGCAATGGCTGGTGCTGTGCCGATCCGAAGTCAGGAGCCAGGAACTTCTTCTAGGTCTCCAACCTGGGTACAGGGTCCCAAGGCTTTGGACCATCCTTGACTGCTTTCCCAGGCCACGAGCAGGGAGCTGGATGGGAAGCGGGGCTGGCGGGATTAGAACCGGCGCCCATATGGGATCCTGGTGCGTTCAAGGCAAGGACTTTAGCTGCTAGGCACCGTGCCGGGCCCGCTGCAAGAATTTTATGGGTTAGACAGATGCACCAGGCCTTGTAGGAGATCTCAGTTGGACTAGTTAGCCTGGATCACAGCTGATTGGTATCAGTACATACTAAAGCTGGGGCTGGGGACCTACCTGGCAGGGATAGATTCCAGTGTCACACAGTGAGAGTCAGAACATGGGACAGGTAATGTTAGGCTGGGCGGTGACACTAACCAGCACATGAGAGAACCAAGTCTGGGCTCAGATTCTGTGGGGAATATGTAGGCCCACCCCTGTGCAGCAGCAATATCCACTGTTTGCTTAAGAGCTGGGAGTGGTGACAGTCTGGAGTTAGGAATGACCATGGAGTCCATGATACTCAAGGCTGCCGGTATTAGGTACGGGTCGGGTAGGTCCAGGCTGCAGTATCTGTAGGCACACCCAAGAGTAAGGTTTCGGGTTGGCTGGGTCACAACAGCTACTAGTTCCTATAAATGCCAGGACAGAGGGAGCAGACTATACTAGGTAAGGACTTGGTATCTGTTGGCACATGTGAGATCTGGTTCTGGGAGTAGACCTGGTGGGAAACTCCCCTTGTGGGCTGTAGCTCCCATTGGTGAGCATGTTGGTTAGTCCTGGGTATTGGTCAGGCCGGGCAAGGTAGCTCCACTTCTCAGCAAGTATGTGGGTTGGTTCTGGAGAGAGGAGGACAGGGCAGGAGCCAGGCTGGAGTGCGAATGATGCTTGGGTAGGCTATCACACCTGCTGGTTTGCATGAATCAGGTTCGGGAGCTTACTGTGTAGAGTTAGACTGCAGCACTCGCCTGTGAGAGTTGGGACTAGGGGCAAGCTGGGACAGGTCAGGCTGCAGCATCCAATGGCACAAGATGGGGTATGGGCTATGCTAAGCTGGGTCAGAACAACCACTGGCACATGCAAGATCTGTGGCTGCAACAGGCCTGGTTGGGGAGCTAAGGGCATGCCCTTGCTTGGTTGTGGTTTCTATTGGTGAGCGCAAGAGTCAGAATGGGGACAGTGATCTGGGCAGGACATGACTAGTGTCCATAGGCATGGGTGTGGACTGGATCTGGGGTGTGCCAGAGTGTGTCTGACCTCAGCATCACTGGTGCTCATGAGAGCCAAGATAGTGTAGGACAAGCTGGGCTAGGTCTCAGCACCCGCTGAACCACATGAGAGCTATATCTGGATGTGGACGAGCTGTGGCTGGGCTATAGCAATCAACAGTAAGTTCTGGAACAGGTATAGGTCAGTTGGGCAAGGCCTCTGCTCCTGCCAGGATAGGAGGTGGACTCAAGTCAGTCTGAGCCAAGGACCCACCAGTGTGTGCAATCTGCCACTGGGAGAGATCTGATAGCGGAACTTGGGGAACTCCTTTGTTCTGAGGCTGTCCCTGCAGGTGAGTGCAAGAATCAAGATCAGAAGCATCCCCGACCATGCCAGGTCACAGTAACTGCTAGCATAAATGGGGGCAGCCACTGGCAAATCAGAACCCGGACAGGGCGCAGGACAGACTGAGTTCGGCTGCAAAACCAGCCAGTCCATATCACAGCCAGGACTGGGGGCTGGCTGGGCTAGACCGGGTGGCAGCACTCACCAGCTTCAGCTGAAACTAAGGGCATTCTGGACCAGGCCAGGCTCTAATATCAGCTGGCAACCACTGAGGTGAGGCTTATGCTAGACTGGGCTGCAGAACCTACAAGCTCACATGAGACTGGAGGCGGGGAGGATTCCCCTGCTGGGTCACTGCTTCCACAGGTGATCATGAGTACTAGGACCTGGGGTAGACCATGCCGAGAGGGGCATAACACCTGCATGTGTTCTGGATTGGGGAGATCCATGCTGAGCTAACAGACTGTATCCACTGGAGCAGGCATGAGCTGAAGTAAATGCAGGTTAATTGGGCTTTGAAGGCTTCAGCTGGTAAGTGCTGGGACTGAGTGCCAATCCTGTCAGGCAGGACTGCAGAACCACCAAACATGTACAAGAGCCTGGTAGTGGGCCTGTTAGGGAAACTGAGGCACCTCTCTGATTAGCCGTAACTCCTACTGGTGAACATGAGAACGAGAGCTGGGGGCGAGACTGGCCAGACAGGTGGTGGCACCTGCCAGTAGGGGTGTAGGCTGGATATAGGGGTTGGTTGGTGAGCTAGGATTCAACCCCCCACTGATGTATACCAGAGATGAATAGGATACAGGACCGACTGGGTCAGTCTGCTGCACACACTGGCAAGCATAGGAACCAGAGGTGGGGGCAAGCTTAGTTGGGTTCATTGGGGGTCACACCAACTAGGCTACAGTTCCCACTGGTGAATGTGAGGGCCAAGTGTGTGGTGGGCAGGAATGGGCTGTGTTACAGCATCCATTAGTTTACATAAAAAGAAGGGGTTGGAAATCGAACTGACCCAACAATTGCAACTCCCAGTGTGTGTGTGTGTGTAGACTGACATGCATGAGGGACTGAGCGGGACCCTGTATTGGCAAACACGAGAGTCAGGGCTGGGATCGCCTCAGATTAGGTTTCTGTGGGGATTCCCCCAGCTGAACTGCTGGACTCAAAATTCCAACCTTGAGGAGAATGGTAGGACCTGTGGTCTGACCATGGAACGCATGTGTTAAAATTGAACGTCCTTAGTGGTTAATTAAGACGGAGCAGTGGATGGCATGCTCAGACGCGCACAGAATATGTGATAGTTCATTGGAGCCTGCAAAGCACATCTGGTACCATAGCAGAGAAAGGAGGCCAGAAAATTGCTCAACCTGCCCAGCCAAGTTTTGACTGCAAATATCTGGGTGATTGGAGACTGGGGTAGACTCTGTCAGCCAGTGGATCTTGGAAGAATTTCCTCGTTCTTATAGTGGTGAGATCGACAGCATTTCAGAACTATTGAAGCCACTTGAGCAGAGCCCTCAGAGTAGGCTGCACACCAGGGACCTGGAAATGGCATCCCCGGGTTTGGGGGTGGTGGGGAAGCTGGGTGTGGCTTCTGCCCTAGTTTCCTTCCTACCCTCACATACAGGAGGAAGAGGGGGAAGATTTGGAGTCAGTGGTCTCGCTCATTCTCCCCTAGTCCTCGATGCTTCCCACCTGGTCAACTACGTAAACGTCATCAGAAGTAAAAAAAAAAAAAAAATTGTTGTTTTAAACCTGAGTGTTCAGAGAAAAAGCACGCTCTGAAAATTACAGAAACTATTTCTATTTCTTTTTCTGTAGAAATAGATTTACCTAATACATGTTTGCAGGTGCAGAAACTAAAAGAATTGATCTTAAAGAAGAGAGCCGAATAGAGATGAGGAAGGGCAGTCAAGCTAGGGAGAGACAAATGCTGAATCACCTGCATCACAATACAACTGGATAGGAGCAAGTCCTAGTGCTCCACAGAGCAATAGGGCAGCTGTCATTTACAGATGATAGTATACCTTCTAAAGTTTAGTACTGAGAGAGAAATTGTTCATCAATGGCTCACTCCCCAAATGGCCACAGTGGCCGGAGCTGAGCCAATCTGAAGCCAGGGGCTCCTTCTGGGTCTCACATGGGTGCAAAGTCCCAGGAATTTAGGCCATCTTGGCCGCTTTCCCAGTTCATAAGCAGAGAGTTGGATATCAATTGGAGCAGCGGGGACTAGAACCGACGCCCATGTAGAATACTGGCACTTAAAGATGGAGGATTAACCTGGTGAGCTGGGGTGCCAGACCCAATTCTGAGGCTCCAAATGTAAAGGAATTGGAAATGTTAACCTTGGTTTGAGGTCATTGTGTGAATGAATTCATTTATCACATTTTATACCATAAAAATATATGATTATTACATGTAGGTTTAAAAAGAGAAAGATTTCTCTTGAGTTCAGGTTTTACCAAAAGATCTGTAGGGCACATCACAGACTAATAAGTAGTGGGTGCCATGAAAGATGGTCCTATTCATCCTCCATATATATTTTTTGAAGACTTACTTATTTTTATTGCAAAGTCAGATTATCTATCTATCTATCTATCTATCTATCTATCTATCTATCTACAGAGGAGGAGAAACAGGGAAAGAAGGTCTTCCATCCATTGAATCACCCCCTCCCCCCCAAGCACCTGCAATAGCTGAAGCTGAACTGATACAAAGCCAGGAGCCAGGAGCCTCTTCTCAGTCTCCCACACAAATGCAGGGTCCCAAGGCTTTGGGCCGTCTTTGACTGCTTTCCCAGGCCTCAAGCAGGGAGCTGGATGGGAAGTGGAGCTGTCGAGATTAGAGCCAGCGCCCATATGGGATCCCAGGTATTCAAGGCAAGGATATTAGCTGCTAGGCTACCACACCAGGCCTTGATTCTCCATATGTTAAGAGCTAAACAAAACATCATGATTAGATAGTTAGATGGATTCACTTGAAAGTAACAAGTCTACAGAAAATTTTCAGTGTGACTGGAATGTTAATGAGAGGAAATTTTGTCGTATTTTAGTGTTGAAAATTTTTAAGAATGATCTGATTTTATGTTGGTTTTTATATTTTTGAGCCTACTTTATTTTTTATGACAATCATATGAAAATGAATATTTAACCTGAAGTAAAACTTAGCACAGAACATTTAAAGTGCATTTATTCATTCTTTTTTCTTCTATTCTAGGTACTATCTTTGGAAATGAAGAAAATGGTAAGACATTTTTAGCCTCATCTTAATAAAGTGGAATGTTAATGATATCTCAGTGCCACTCACACACTTACTATTTATTGAGGAACACTTGTGGTTTTTATTTTTCAGAAAGAAAATGAGTGTCTTTAAAACTTACGTAAATAAAAAGGAAGTGATGTTATTGTTAGGTTTATTGTCATTTAGTATATTCTCTGTATTATTTATATAAGGTAATAAAATTGAAGCAGCCGTTATCATATGAAGTGCTTAGTACTCACATACGTGTTTCTTAAATACTTATTTAGGTTCACCTGCCTTGTATGTTTGCCAGAACGCCTCATTCTTATTGTTAATGTCAGATGCAGCTGGTTGGGGAGGAGAATCTGATCTCATGAATTTAATTGATGCTTTTGATGTGTTTGTTAAAAACGATACTTCGCCACCCAGATATATTTAATGAAAGTAGCCAGAATACACAGATTTATAAATTGTATTACTAGTTCAAGATCAATAAAATTTTTGTAGTAATTATTCAAAAATATATTACATAGAGGGAAAAAAATCAACAAAATTTCTTTTTTTTTTTATTTTTTTTAAAGATTTATTTTTATTATTTTTTCATTGGAAAGGCGGATATACAGAGAGGAGAGACAGAGAGGAAGATCTTCCGTCCGATGATTCACTCCCCAAGTGAGCGCAACGGGCCGATACTATGCCGATCCGAAGCCAGGAGCCTCTTCTGGGTCTCCCACGCGGGTGCAGGTTCCCAAAGCTTTGGGCCATCCTCGACTGCTTTCCCAGGCCACAGGCAGGGAGCTGGAAGGGAAGCGGGGCTGCCGGGATTAGAACCGGTGCCCATATGGGATCCCGGGCGTGCAAGGCGAGGACCTTTAACCACTTGCGCCACCGCGCCGGGCCCTCAACAAAATTTCAAATCAGAATCCAGCTGGGTGTAAGAAAAGTTTGCAAGTCCACTGAGATCACAATTTTTTTTAATATTTATTTTTATTTTTATTGCAAAGTCAGATATACAGAGAGGAGGAGACACAGAGAGGAAGATCTTCTGTCTGATGATTCACTCCCCTCCTGGTCTCCCACGTGGGTGCAGGGCCCAAAGCTTCGGGCTGTCCTCAACTGCTTTCCCAGGCCACAAGCAGGGAGCTGGATGGGAAGCCAGCAGCCCGGACTTTAACCAGTGCCCATACGGTGTTGAGCATCTCACGCAGGAGGTCAACCTGCTTCTCTACAACCCAACTCCTCCTGTTTCTTTTTAAATCAAAACCATTTTTTGTTTGTTGAAAGCGGAGAATTTCAGAAGTTCTTACAGGATTTTTGTGTTATCTCTTGGGGCTGTTTCTCAAATGTCTCTTGAGGAGACTTTTACTGGGTGATTCTTGGACACAGCGTTCCTGATTTATAAATTCAGATTTTTCTCATCTTTGACGCAATTTGCCTAGTGAAATAACATCTTCCATATTGTTAATAACCAGTGGCTCATGGTGTGACAAGAGTTTGTGTATTAATGATGACATTAATTTGTACCTAGTTAAAAACAATGTTTTCTGTTGTTTACTCATAAGTTAATAATATCTGATACTTACTATATTCCAGGCCTAGTACTAAGAGCCTAATTTTAACAATTCTTGTTTTAAAAATTAGTTAATTTTGACCAGATCATTATGTTTTGCTCTTACGGAGAGCAGAAATATCCTAAAAATATACTGTACTATTTTTTAAATGCCTGAAAAATATAAGCCTTGCTTTGGGCACTCCTGTTCATTGCAGATAAATGATTGAGTTTAAAGTATCTCACTGGTACTGTTTATCTCAAAACTGTGCACTAGTGTCCAGGTGGGGAATGATCGGCTTGACTGAATATGGGAATCCGTGAGAAATAAAAGTGAGGCAGCTGCAGATGACATCCTGCCTAGTCACTCCGTGACCTAAGGTTAGCCCTGGTGCTGCATAGCAGTAGGTGACAAAGCTGCTACATGTTGTCCAAAGGAAAAACAAACGATGCAAGGTGTGGTGTTGGTGCAGTGGGTCAGGTGGCCTGCCTGGGACACCGGCCACCCACTGGATCCCTGCTAAAGCCTGGCAAAAGCAGCCGAGGTTAGCCCACTGTTTGGGTCCTTGCACCTGTTTGGGAAACTCTGCTGAAGCTCCTGGCTCCTGATTTCAGCCTAATACAGTGTTGTGGCCAGTGAATGGGTGGTCTATCTCTCCATCTCTCCTTACTATGTAACTCCCCTTAGTGTGTAACTCTCTAAAATTAATAAATAAGCTTTTTTTTTTTTTTAAGAAAAAGGTGAACAGCCCAACAGTGATTTAAGAGTCTGTTGGGTATACTGTAAGGTTCAGCTTGGAGACAAGAGGACAGAATGCAGATTGGAGAAACCAGAATTTTCGGTGCGGTAGCAATATGAGAGGAGGTGAAAAGAGAACATTTGGGAGTTGAAGAAAATGGTAGTTTGAATTTATCTTAGCATCCAATATTGGCTTAGAAAATCATTAAAATGATGCTTTAAAAAGAGGAAAATGGCCCACGCAGTAGCCTAGCAGCTAAAGTCCTCATCTTGCACGTGCTGGGATCCCATATGGGCGCCGGTTCTAATCCCGGCAGCCCTGCTTCCCTTCCAGCTCCCTGCTTGTGGCCTGGGAAAGCAGTCGAGGACGGTCCAAAGCCTTGGGACCCTGCACCTGCGTGGGAGACCCAGAAGAGGCTCCTGGGTGCTGGCTTCAGATTGGCTCAGACTAGCCATCGCAGCCGCTTGGGGAGTGAATCAATGGACAGAAGAACTTTCTCTCTGTCTGTTCTTTCTGTATAGCTGCCTTTCAAGAAAAATAAAATAAATGTGTTTTTTTTTTTAAAGATTTATTTTTATTATTTTTTTCATTGGAAAGGCGGATATACATAGAGGAGAGACAGAGAGGAAGATCCTCCGTCCGATGATTCACTCCCCAAGTGAGCGCAACGGGCCGATACTATGCCGATCCGAAGCCAGGAGCCTCCTCCGGGTCTCCCACGCGGGTGCAGGTTCCCAAAGCCCTGGGCCGTCCTCGACTGCCTTCCCAGGCCACAGGCAGGGAGCTGGAAGGGAAGCGGGGCTGCCGGGATTAGAACCGGCGCCCATATGGGATCCCGGGCGTGCTAGGCGAGGACCTTTAACCACTTGCGCCACCGCGCCGGGCCCAATAAATGTGTTTTTTATAAGAAGAGGAAAATATAATCTTAGGGATGACATGCGGAAAAGATTATTGGACTTTATAAAGTAAATATTGATTTGAATTCTGGTTTTTATCATTTAGTAACCCAGTGATGTGGGCATGATACTGAGTTCTGTGAGGCTCAGTATTTACATCTGTAAACTGGAGGAATACCTGCTAGACTTAAGAGGTACAGAGGAGGCACATGAGCTATGACTGCCAGGTGACTCCATAGCCAGCAGCAGTAGTGGCAGTTTGCGCTGGTTAGCTGTGAGGTCAAGGGTCACTCGAGCACCGGGGATCCTAGCCTCTGAAATCAGGAACAGACAGTACAGCTACGAAAGAAAATGCTGGGTTCTCGGCGCGGTGGCGCAGTGGTTAAGGTCCTCACCTTGCACACCCTGGGATCCCATATGGGTGCCGGTTCTAATCCCGGCAGCCCCGCTTTCCTTCCGGCTCCCTGCCTGTGGCCCGGGAAAGCAGTCGAGGACGGCCCAAAGCTTTGGGACCCTGCACCCGCGTGGGAGACCCGGAAGAGGCTCCTGGCTTTGGATCGGCATAGTATCGGCCCTTGCGCTCACTTGGGGAGTGAATCATCGGATGGAAGATCTTCCTCTCTGTCTCTCCTCTCTGTATATCCGCCTTTCCAATAAAAAAATAATAAAAATAAATCTTTAAAAAAAAAAAAGAAAATGCTGGGTTCTGATAAGGTTCTCAGTCTTTTGTCATACCTGTTTCATGTAAGGCAAATGACATCGGAAGAAGGAAGGCCAGTACTTGAAACTGAATGCATATTAACTTTACAAACTTGACTCCGATGTTTTTAATATTTTTCATTCTCCTACAGACTGATTGAAAATTCTCATTATTGAAACTTGAGAAATACTGCAATAGAGAACGTATAACAAGAACAAAACAATATTGAGGAAGAGAACTAAGATGCCTGGGGAGCCAGTGTTCAGTGATGGTTAATTATGCACCAGGCATTATCCTAAGTGTTTTGCATTTTAAGCAGTTGTTCAAACATCCCTTAGTTAAAGTCTAATCAAATTATTTGGGGTGTCCAGTATGAGTTAATGAACCCCTAATATAATTACAGAAGATTTTTTTTTGTGGAAGAAATAACATTTGATTTGAACTTTAAAAAATGAGCAGAGTCTCATGCCTTTGGGCTTGCCTGCATCATCTGCAGTGCATTTGTGATGCTGCGCCCCAAACCGAAGCTCTAAGTGGCTGGTAGATCATTCTTGCTCATGGAGGCAAGTCCCGTTTCTTCCAGATACAAACGACCGCAGAGCACAACAAAAAGCTTGGAATCACGTGAGCGAGTTAATATTCAGAGATGAAGTTGGAGTGTTACACAAGCCCCTTTGAGAAACAGTTGAATAAAAATTCGGTGTCACTAGGTGAGAAAGAGATGGGTGAGAGAATGAGGCGCACAGTCTTGCTTCTGGCAGTGCGGGAATTGGGTTGTTTAAACTCACTATTTGCAGTGGTAGTGACTTCACTTGCTTTCAGTTTACGCTTTCCTGGATTTAATGTTCATGGTGGTACATTCTGCTTTAAGTTGTTTTTAAGTCATTAAACATTAACTTTAGGGAGAGTAAAACATAGTGAATAAAGGAATTGTTCTAGCTTGTGCTCATCGACTTAATGAAATCAAATCTCATCTCAGTCTTATAAATCAGATGGATGAGAGTATTCCTTCATATCAATGCTGTATCATGCAGCTAAAAGAGTTTATGTATCTAATGTTTTGCTATTTTTTAATTTAAAAATTTGTTCAATTAGGTCTATAGACCCAAATATTGTGTTTTAATGTAATGATTTTTCTTGTGTTCACTTGGATTCAATGAAATGTTATTTGCTTTTATTTACCAGGAAAGACCGTTGTCTACCTTGTGGCTTTCCATCTGTTCTTTGTTATGTTTGTATGGTCCTATTGGATGACAATTTTCACATCTCCCGCTACCCCCTCCAACGAGGTAAATTGAATGTTGGTAAATTACCAAATGTTGTAGTTGAAAATGGAATTCTTTTCCCTTATGTTACCTTTGTGAAAACTTTACATGATGCATTTGTTCTGTTTCCGGTCGTTGAGTTGCTTGGTGACTGTGTTGTGAGTGTGAGTCCTTGTTCTCAGACACAGCCTCCTGACATAAAGGGAAGCTGTGTGCGGATGCTTTCTGCCGTGCAGTTTCTTAAGCAGAATTCACTGTCTGAAACCCTCTTAACATTTATACTATGTTAGGCGTGAACATAGTGGTGTGACAAGTAAAGCACATCTATTTTGATTGTGGGAAATGAACTTTCTAGACTATTTCTTTTCCCACCTTAATGTGACTGGCATTTCTTCCTATTGGAAGTTTTATTTGAAAAATATATATATATAGGTCAACATTTATGTGGAGTGAGCTTTGTGACTTGTAGTCTAGCCTGCTTTGATCTAACCATGTACGTTCTTGTTCGGCGTGCCTTTATTATTGCAAGATGGTTTAGAGCATCTTCCCTAGAGTTAGATTTGTCCGATTTTCTGCTCTAACACATTGAGCTTCAGTTGTGTCATCAGAAATGGAGCTCACAATCATGCCTGTCTTTAAAAGATGATTGTGAGAAGTAAATGAAATTTGTCCAAGTAAGTATTTTAATATAGTGGCTGCCACATGATTGACATTCCTGTTGAATGATGGTAAATAATGTTGTTTCCCTTCACATTAAATTTATCAAAATGTATTAATGTTATAGATCAAATGATTAATATCAACTTCCCGTTACCTTTGTCATAAAGAGCGTATATGCGGAAAGCTAGACGTCATGAACGTACACCAGCCGTGTAACTGCCACCCAGCCCAGTGTAAGGAGCGGAACCTTGCTGGCCTCCCATCAAACTCCCCCATGCTCCCTTCAGTCACCCATCGTCTGCCTGCCTTCAGACAGCAGAGATGAGCTTGCTCGTTTCTGTATATAACACGTAGTAAGCAGTGTGTGTGGTTATATGCTATCACAGTAATATATGCTTATGTGTCTGGGACATTTCTCATTAACATTCTGTTCATGATAGTCATCCATGTTGTCACATATAAACATACATCATTTATCCACATTTGGTTTTCAACTGTGGCAATGTTTAACACGATTTATGTACTGGGTCTACTGTTGATGGGCTTTGAGTAGCTTCCAGTTTAGAGCTGTTACAGTGGAGCTGCTGTAAAGGTTCTAGTGCCTGTCCCTTGGGGGATGTATGTGTCCTTCTTTCAGAGAGATGCTTACAAAATGACACCTGTTATGTGTACCTTCATTCAATACTAGTAAACGTGCCAGTCTTTAGTGGGATGCTTGTGTTTCCAGAAATAAACCGTAAGTCAAACTTGGTGAACCCTAAGGTACCTTCTTCAGGAATTTAGTCATAATTAGCACAATCATTCGTTTCTTAATCTCTAAATCCAAAAACACTTAGATTTAATCCATTGCTAGTAGCAATGGCTATTGAAAACATTGCATGAGTAAAAAGTAAATAGTTCTTCTTGCAGGAAATAAAAATGTAGAACAAATTGTAATGTTTTCAAGAAGCAGTATGCATTCTGTAGCCAAAACTGCCCACACTCTACTCAGACTTCTGTTAGATACCAGTGCTGTGGCTAGGGGGGCGGACTTTGCTTTGCTGTATAAAGTGAGGGTGATAGCAGTATGTATCCCATGAGATTATAGTAAGCACCAAAAAAATTAGTAGTAAATGGAACCAGTAATATATAGAATAGCTTAGGTAAAGCCCTTAGAAGACATAAGCACCCTGTAACAGCATGTTCTGTTCTTTTTTGGCTGTGTGGTCCCGGCATATTGCAGCTCAAACCTTAGGCTCTTACGTCCATTCTGCTCACAGCTCCCCAGGCCTGTGTCCAGTGGCTATGCTATGATGTGCTCCATCTGTCCTGTCAGAAGACACTCCCATCACATTCACAGCCACTCACTGTCTGGCATGTGACAGGTGCTTAGGAGCTGTTGAATGAGCGAAATCAAAAGGCTCAGAGCACAGTGCCAGTGGCAGCCAACAGGATTCAAGGTGCTCTATCTCATTGCGCCTGCATTGTGCTGCCTACAAGAACAGATTGAGACCAGAGAAGAAGAACTGTACATTTTCAAAGCAGGTTAAGTTATAAATACTAGGATTTTTCATTTAGCCAGCACTTGATGATCACCCACTGGATGTCGGATTCTGTGCTGGACTCAGAAAGGAAACCAAGACAGACATGGTCTTTCCACTTTAGCAGGACAGATGAATGATCAAGCAAGTAACATCGTTATGTATTTTAGTAAACTCAGAAATTTAGAAAATTAGTTAAATTTAGAGTATGAACATGGCAGTAGGACAGAGCATAATAGTAAAAGCTTATTTCATCATATTGGCCAAAGAGGTTCTCTATAGAGTGGCATTAAAGCCAGCAGCTCTGTAAGTATCTCTTCTAGTAACTTTTCAAAAGGAAAAATATTTGTCATTTACTGCTGTAGCTTCATGATCTAGAAGGCAGCCTTCTGTATAGTCAGCAAGTTGGTAGACTTGAGTGAATGAGCTGGGCACAACTGCCTTCAAAAACAGCTCCCACTGCCTCTCAAGGGAGCTGTTATCATACATGATCATGTATTGTTCATGTTGTGCTTATGCTGATTCTTATTTTATAATTCTCACTAGGTTATGATAATGTTCTTGAAGATGAGGGTTATTTTCATTCATCTTTAGATCCCTACTGTCGGGAATAACACTGATCCTTAATTGATATTTGATAGATATTTAAATGGAATCAGCTTAACACCAAAGTAATAATGACATCCCATACTGCCAATTCTATTCAATTGTGAATGAAAAATAGAATTCTGGTACCAATTTCAAGAAGTTGTATTTACTTATTGAGAGAAAAAATATGAGCCCAAGTGACACACAAGCACTCGCTCATCTGGTGGTTCACTCCACAGGTGTCTGCCATAGCCCGGGTAGACCGAGCTAAACGAGGAGCTAGGAAGTCAGTCTGGGTCTTACAGTGTGTCAGAGACCTAGCTTTCTGAGCCATCACCTGCACCTGTTACCTCCCACCGTCTACATGAGCAGTGGAACTAGGATTTGAACCCAAGAAATCTGATGTGAGATGGGGGCATGTTAAATGCTAGGCTAAATCTCCTATTTCAATTACAATGGAGCTGCTGTAAATATTCTAGTGCCTGTCCCTTGGGGGATGTATGTGTCCTTCTTTCAGAGAGATGCTTACAAAATGACACCTGTTATGTGTACCTTCATTCAATACTAGTAAACGTGCCGGTCTTTAGTGGGATGCTTGTGTTTCCAGAAATAAACCGTAAGTCAAACTTGGTGAACCCTAAGGTACCTTCTTCAGGAATTTAGTCATAATTAGCACAATCATTCGTTTCTTAATCTCTAAGTCCAAAAACACTTAGATTTAATCCATTGCTAGTAGCAATGGCTATTGAAAACATTGCATGAGTAAAAAGTAAATAGTTCTTTTTGAGTGAAAGTAACAAAATAAGGATAAGGAAGGTTAGGGCTATTCCTGCATTCTAAGAGTAAGACAGGCTAGTGAAATCTGTTGAGATTTTACAAAGAACCTGTAAATTTTGATGAGGAATTTTCCTATCAAAATACATACTTAACATACCGTATGATTTTTACAGCAACTTCTATGAATGTTCCAGAGAGTTGCCAGGGAAAAACTTGCTAATGAGCACAGTATTTTATAAAAGTGAATGAGCTATCTTACAAAGTAGCAACATATTTCTGTCTCTGAAAATATTGAAGAGGATGGCTCTGTCAGAAGTGTGTGAGGAACCCCTGTCTGTGTTGGGAGATTATGCAAGTGACCTCCACAGTCCTTGACACTTTTATCTTTAAGATTGAGTGAATTTGATAGCCTTGCATCCTGTCAGCTTGATGGTGGGTACCAAGCAAGATAATCTAAGTTGACTTTAGTCAGCCAGCATTCTGTAAAAAGCAAGAGTATTTCCTCTACTTTGCCAGTATAGAGGAAAACATGCTGGAGTAGAACCCAAAAGGATTTAAATATCAGCTCTGCTAATAATTCTGAAATCTCAAAATCTCCTAGAGCTCCCTCTATTACACCAAGCTCTAGCCTCATTTATGAAAGAATAAATTACATTGGTCAAGCTAATACTTTATCAGTGATGGGGCAGCAAAAGGAAAGCATTTGAGTTAGCAGATGGAACACACTAAAATACACTTCTGTATGAAAAGAGAAAATTCCAGTCCTGAATCCTTAAGACTTTTAATGCAAAACGTTGCAAGTAAATGAAAATTGAGCAACATTAAAAAGATATTAAAAAAAAAAATCAGGAGCCAAGTCTCAAGCCATTCTTAGTTAAGAAAAGAAAGCCATGTATTTAAATAGCCCAATGGGAGCGTAAAGCTCCTGGTTACATGAGATGCAGACATGAAGAAGAAGGCCTTTGAGATGATGGGAAAACACAGGAAAGGAGTAGCAGCTAAACAATTCTATGATAGGGAAAAGGCGAACAGAACGAGCTAGAGGCTGGCCATGTGCTGGGAACCAACATTGAGAAACGCACTGGTCTATGAGGATGCTCTCTCCTTGAGAGGAAGATGTGCTGACGGGGGCACTGTGTGATGGAGCTGGAGGAACTGTCCCTGCAAACGAACCTTCCTGGAGAGTAACCATATAAAAGAATGACGTTGCTAACGGTGATCCGTTTATTCTTAACCTAGCCTGTTCCCCAAAAGAAGTCCATCTTGGAACATGTTTCCAAAAACTGAAAGTTTCTTGGTAGTAACTTTTAGACAAAAATGTTTTTACTAACAGAAGGTGTGTATTAAACCTTTTTCTCCTTGTACAGGAAGTTTAAAGACAAAGATGCAGAATACGTACTTTATGTCTTTGCTATTATGACTGTAGATGTCAAATGTTTTTTTAATCTTTCAGAGGTATGTAATTTTGATTAAAAGAGATTTATCTTCTTGAACAAGTTTGAAGATAAGATTTACCTAAATAAAACAAAATGCGGGGGTTTTTGTTTGTTGTTGATAGCACTTTTTATAGATAACATAGTAGGATTTCAAATTTTTGATAGTTCTCTTTCCTTTCTGTAGTTCTACTTGTCAAATGCCGAGAAGGAGCGTTATGAAAAGGAATTCAGCCAAGAAAGACAGCAAGAAATTTTGAGACGAGTAGCACGAGACTTACCCATCTATACAACATCAGCTTCAAGAGGTAAGAAGTGCAAATCTTAAACTTTCTAAAGAGTTTTCGAAATATGGTTAAACCATGTTTTCATGGTTTGCCACTGCCACGCACTTCTTCAGGAGCAAGATTGTCCTGTTCTCTGTATCTTCTCCAGTTTTTAGATACACAAATAGAAAAATTAACATAATTTATTTAAGAGACATACTTTGATATAAACCCTTCCTCTGCTCATTTTTTCCCTCAGCCATATGGCTAAAAATTTCACCAAGTCCTCTTAGTAAGCCATTATTTGGAAATTCTGGTCTGAATCTGAATACATGTGTCATGATCCACGGAATAACATCCAGACTGTGGACGCAGGCGAAGAAACTTGTTCAGTGATGGAGGTGGTCCCTCTGCATCAGCACTTGCCTTGAGGTCATGACTGCTATGGCTGCTGCCTTGCCTCTGGTTTTAGCCTCCTGACAGGGAAGAGCCCATGAGGGTCAGCCTGGTCCTTTAAATACAAAAGCTAAAACAGCTTTTTTTTTGTATGCCTGATTAATTGGTTCAGATAACAAACTAATCTCAGGATGACAGTTAGTCTTTTTACACAACAGGCTGTGTCAGGAAGATACTCCAGTCACTATTTTACAGGTGAAGTGCCTTGGTCAAGGTCGGTGAAGAGACTGGGAGTTGAATCCAGGTGCTCTGGCTCAGAACCCAGTGGGCTTCTCAACTTCAAGTTGAAGTGGAAGGGACTTTTCCTATGTGTGACTGCAGACAATTTAAAGTGGCTGTAAGCTTCAGGAGGAAGGGTTCTTGAACTTCTCACTTTTAATACGTTTATAAAAATCTTTTGCATAATGAATAGATTAATATACAGAATGAAAGCATGATTACAGACCAAATTCTGTTTTTTTTTTTTTATTTACTAGTGCAGTACAAGTCACTTCATTTTCCTAAGCCTTATTTTGCTTATTTCAAAACTAGGATGACATCAACATCTCTGTTAGTAAAATATTAAATGAAACAATACACATAAAATATACTTGGTATAGATTTTTATATGTAATAATAAATTTCTAGTATGTCTCATTTACAATAAATGATCACTAATTCTAAAATAATTTTCTATTAACTTAAAATAATTAGCTTAAATTATTACCAATTACAGTTTTGTGGGTCAGGTATTTTCAACTCAAGGTCTACAATTTCAGAAGCTTTATGAACGTCTCCTGTGTGAGTGTAGGGCACCCCCAAATGGGATGACCTTAACGTCATCCCCCGAGAGAGTGAGTCTCCCCAATGACCAAGGAAGAGGAGGCTTGATGCAAAAGCAAGAGGCTTTATTCAATCACCAGCGTGCTGGGGCTGGGGCCTGTCCCCACACGGGAGGCTAGGCACACCAGCCCCGAGGCTTTGTTCAGCATGCTTTTTAAAGGCTAAAAACCATACTCAGGAAAGGGGGCCATAAAAGACCTTTGCCTTGCCATGCAATTAGGGTCTTTTCCACTGCGCCCTCAATTCTTTATCACATTTCTTCCCTGAGATGCTTGTCTCAAGACTTTTTTATGATCTAATCCGGATGCAGCCACAGGTGCCCCTTATCTCTCTCTGGTTCCCAGGCTCTAAGTGATGAGATGTTTGTCTGGTTAGAGATGTTGGTTCAGCTATCCATTGTCTTTTTCAGCGAGCAAAGTACAGAAGGCAAAAAAGCAAATTAAATTCCTCTATCCTAAATTTTCCTTTTCAAGTACAGGGGTCTAAATGCTTGGGCCATCCTCTGCTGTAGATTCTGTGGGGGAAGTGTGGGCCAAACACTGTGGAAAGACTAACCCCACTGGTTAGTTCATGAGTTGGGGTGGTGATGGACTAGCTAGGTGTGACCAAGGAGCCTGTCACCACTCACAGGAACCCGCAACAATCGCTTCTTGGTCTTTTGGCTAAGATCAAGTGTAGGAATCAACAACAGTCTGGACTGCTCAAGGCAGCAGCACCCAAATGTGCATCCTGAATAGGATGTGGGGTGGGCCGGGCTGCAATTCAGCAGCTCATAGAAGGCCAAATGGAATTCCAGACTATGCTGGTCATCGGCCTAAAACCCACTGGCACGTATGAGAACTGGGTCAAGTGGAGGAACTTGGGAAACTCCCCTGGCAGGTCATAGCTTCTGCTGGTGAACATGTGGTCCAGACCTGGGGGTGAGACAAGCTCAGCAAGTAGCTCCAATGGCTGGCTAATGTGTGAGTTGGAAATGGAACGGGGTGGACTGGGCAGAACTGAGCAACCCTTAGCTCACAAGCGAAAATAGAAATCAGGATGGAGCACAGATCATGCTGAGCTAGGCTCTTGCACCTACTGGTCTGCATGAGCCAGGGACACTAAGCTACAGTGTCTAAGGCAGAAGCCGGGACAGGAGAGGGGCTGTGCCAAGCTGAGTCAGAACAACCACTGGCATGCATGTGATCTATGGATGGAAACAGGCCCGGTTGGAGAGCTAAGGGGACAACCCTAACTGGGTTGAAGTTCCCACCAAGGAGCAAAGAGACTGAAATGAGGACTGATTCTGATCAGGATACGGTTGTAGTCTCCCTTGGTACAAGTATGAACTGGGACTGGACACACCAAGCCGGGCTAGACTCCAACACCATCTGGTGCTCTGGAGGGCCAGGGCAGCTGTGGGATGGACTAGGCTAGGTCTCAGCCCCTACTGAACCATGTGTGAGCTGTATGTGGGTATGGACAAATCTTGGCTGGGCTAAAACATTAAACAGTAAGAACCAGATTTGGGTTGAATGCCAGTCAGGAAAAGCCACTGTTCCTGCTAGGACAGGAGGTGAACTGGGTAGGGCTGGCTCATGGACCCACTGGTATGCGCAAAATCTGGCATTGGGAGGGGTTCTAATGGAGGAGCCTGGGCAACTCCTCTGGCAGGACACAGTCCCTGCAGGTAAAGGCAAGAAGCATGATAAGAAACAGCCCAGAACAGGCCATGGAAAGTTTCCCACTGGCATACATTTGGCATGGGTCAGGGGCAAGGCTATTTGTTTTAAAGATTTATTTATTTTTATTACAAAGTCAGATAGACAGAGAGGAGGAGAGACAGAGAGGAAGATCTTCCGTCCGATGATTCACTCCCTAAGGGAACGCAATGGCTGATGCTATGCTGATCCGAAGCCAGGAGCCAGGAACTCTTCCAGATCTCCCACACGGGTGCAGGGTCCCAAGGCCTTTGGCCGTCCTCTACTGCTTTCCCAGGCCACAAGCAGAGAGCTGGATGGGAAGCAGGGCCACCGGGATATGAACTGGCACCCATTTGGGATCCCGGCACATTCAAGGCGAGGACTTTAGCCGCTAAGCCACCGTGCCACGCCCCCAGATTTTGTTCTAATACAATAATCCTTCCACTTGATACTACTTGTATTTACAAATTAGGAAATGAATGCTCTTGGAGAGTAGTTTACTGATCCCGTGTTTTGGAATGCTAGTATCAGAGCCAGCTGGCGAGAGCCCCGAGCGTCTCCAAGACACAGTGTGTCAGTGTTCTGTCCTGATTGTCTTGGTATGTTTCTTTTTCTTTTTTTTTTTTTAAAGATTTATTTTTATTATTTTTTCATTGGAAAGGCGGGTATACAGGGAGGAGAGACAGAGAGGAAGATCTTCCGTCCGATGATTCACTCCCCAAGAGAGCGCAACGGGCCGATACTATGCCGATCCGAAGCCAGGAGCCTCTTCCGGGTCTCCCACGCGGGTGCAGGTTCCCAAAGCTTTGGGCCGTCCTCGACTGCTTTCCCAGGCCACAGGCAGGGAGCTGGAAGGGAAGCGGGGCTGCCGGGATTAGAACCGGCGCCCATATGGGATCCCGGGCGTGCAAGGCGAGGACCTTTAACCACTTGCGCCACCGCGCCGGGCCCTTGGTATGTTTCTTACCTTGACACCTCCGTGACAATAGAGAAAACACAGGACCTGGGTGTCAGAATGTCTGCCTTCTTGGACAAGTGCTGCGACTCACCGCACCGTTTGACCTTACGCAGTCACGTGCTTTGGAGCTACTGTCTATGTTGAACATGCAGTACAGATTCATTTATCTGTATCAGTCAAAGATACAGAGAGAGGTAGGGGAGGGGAGAGATTTTCGTCCTCTGATTCACTGCCCATAGACCCCAACAGCTGAGGCTGGACCGGGCCCAAGGCAGGAGCGTCTTCTTCGCCCCTCATGTGGGTTCAAGGGCCCAGAGACTTGAACCAACTTTCACTGCTTTTTCCGGTGCATTAGCAGAGTCAGATCAGAGGTGGAGTAGTGGGCCCTGCGCGGTCGCCTTGCAGCTAAGGTCCTCGTCTTACACACACGGATCTTATATCGGCACCAGTTCTAATCCTGGCTGCACCACTTCCCATCCAGCTCCCTGCTTGTGGCCTGGGAAAGCAGTAGAGGACAGCCCAAAGCCTTGGGACCCTGCACCCGCATGGGAGACCCAGAAAGAAGTTCCTGGCTTCTGGCTTCGGACCGGTGCAGCACTGGCCGTTGCGCTCACCTGGGGAGTGAGTCAATGGATGGAAAATCTTCCTCTCTGTGTCTCCTCCTCTCTGTGTATCTGACTTTGTAATAAAAATTCAAAAAAAAAAAAAAAAGAAAGAAAGAAAGAAAAAAAAAGAGAAAGAAGTGGAGTAGCCAAGATTCAAACCAGTGCCCGTACGTCACGCTGTCACCATGGGCAGGGTCCACCCAGTACGCCTTGGTGCTGGCCTCTCTCTCAACATTCTGTTTTGAGAAACTGATGATTTTCAGATTATTTTACAGTTTCTTAGAGTTGTTTATTTTTTAAAAATCAAGCTTTACGATCAAGTTAGTTAACCTTGCATCTCCTTCCGTGTTTTCCTCTTATGTCTGTCCTGTAGCGATCCGATATTGTGAGAAGTGTCAGTTGATTAAACCTGATCGGGCACATCACTGCTCAGCCTGTGACACGTAAGTGTTCCTCACTCTTGTGCCTTCGTATAAACCGCACACTGGAAGCTGGCGGTAGGAGGCCCGCTGTTTTGCTGTACACTCGGCCACAGAGACATTTGCGCAAGTTAGAATATGCTCAAAAGTGTCTGACAACAGCATAGAGAATTTTGACATTAAATAGACTTTCTATATACTTACAATGAGAAACTTCAAGAATTGTGGAAAAATGGAATCTAAAAAAATCAGCTTATTTGTTTTTTAAAACGTTTTGAAATTCATGCATTTTCCATGAATTTCTTGAAGATGCCCTCTATATTCCCGATGACCAAGTGGTCATAATCCCCTTGAGAAAGATAACTGGATGTTAAACACACTGAGATTTCTTGTTTCTGTTGTTAGTCCTGATATGTAAAACCTACAAAAGTCACCCGAGTAACTAGCTTCAGTTACCGTTTGTGACAGTTTTTCCAAAGAGATTTGAAAGCCATCCCTGCTCCTACGTGTGTGAGAAGGTAGTGAGTATGTTAAAAATATTTAGCTCGGGAATGCAGCTAATTCTCGATTTTTGTCTAGACGAGCTGCCTGCCTTGTCTTTGTTCGTTACCAGTTTGCTACGTTTTTGGAGCTGATCTGTGGTCTAACAGATGTAGAACGCACACAGTAGTAGGGAGGTGAATTTGGGCTTTGCTTTGTCCTCCATTGTAACAACACAGTAGTGTTTATGCTTGTAATTAAACGTAACACAGTCGGTAGGAAAGTAACTGTCTCCATGCCCTTTAGTGTTCATTTGTATATGCTTTGCTTCTAGTTATATTTTTCATGACTTGTATGTTTAAGACAACATAGGGTCACGTTTGTAATTTCCTATATCTCATTCAGGTGATTTGTAGGCTTGTCCTATCCAATGTGTCCATCAGAAGTGAGGATTTAAATTTTATTTGATACCATCCAAGATAACTGGAAATGTTCAGTTGTCATCCCGCTGTGGAAACTCATGGCCTGTGTGAGATACCTATGGCAATGTCACAAACTGTCTTTAACCTGGTGTTTCTGGTCTAGCACTCGAAGGAGAGAATTAAGTCAAATAAAAGTGTAAGAATTTAGAGACAGGGAATTTTTTTCTGCATGAATTTTCTTATGCTTGTTTGTTTCTTAGATGTATTCTTAAGATGGATCATCACTGTCCTTGGTATGTATGAAGAATACAATTATGGCAGGGTGGGAGGGGTGGGATTTAGAGTGTTTCTAAATTTTAAAGGTCCATTTCATTACTTATAGGTGTTAAGATTGATCTGCTTATATGCATATATGTATGTATAGAAGAGTATTTATATTAAATGTTTCCCTTTAAAAATATCTTCTGATATTATTAAGCCTAATCACAATGTGTTAAGTATTAATACTAAAATTCCAAAGTTCTTTTCAGAATGTGTTAAAACATGCATCCATTTTTAAGACACTTCCTCCCATTTCCCAAATGACCTACCTCCAAGTAATAATGATTAAATTTTGATTTATTTTTCCATTATGATTAAAAAGCAGAAATTTTAACACTTTAACCGTTTTTTTTAGGTATACAGTCAGTAGCATTAAATACATTTACATGTTGTATGGTCAATCCCCGCAACGTCTTTCCTCCTATAAAACTGAAACTGTTTTCATTAAACAGCCCCCCATTTTCCCCTCCCACTGGTCCTTGGCAATTTCTCATGTATTTTCTATGGCTGTGAATTTGTGCTTTTGCTTATTTTTATGGTGTAACTTTCTTATTCTTCCAGGGTGAATAACTGTGTGGGATTTTCTAATTACAAATTCTTCATGCTGTTTTTATTCTATTCCTTATTGTACTGCCTTTTTGTGGCTGCAACGGTTTTAGAGTACTTTATAAAATTTTGGACGGTAAGTCTTTTTCTATCTTAAACATGTATTTGAGACTTTTAAGATGCCATATTCCCAGACAATTTGATTCTTTTTTACAAGTAGACATGCTTGTTATTTATTTGAAGGGCTAAATTAGAGAGCGAGAGGGCGAGATGGAGATCTTCCGTCTGCAAGGATCACTTCCCAAAGGGTACGGTGGCGGGATGGGCCAGGCCCAAACCGGGAGCCTGGAACTCTGCCCAGGTCTCCTGGGTGGGTGGCAGGGGCCCGAGTGGTCAGGCACATGAGCAGGGAGTTGGCGTCACTGAGCATGACACACCCTGTCGCACCACAATGCCATCGCACTCGAGGTTCTTTAGTTCTGCGGGTCAGAGTCGTCTACAGTGGAGCAGAGGGCACAGTGACGTTTACCTAGGCCTACACACTTATTTATAAGTTCACGTGTAGTAAACGAGAGTCAGCTTTTCTTGGTGACCCAAGTTGTTTTCAGCCACGTTGAAATAAAGACATCAGGGGGTTTTTTGTTTGTTTGTTTTTAAGATTTATTTATTTTTATTGGAAAGGCAGATTTACAGAGAGGAGGAGAGACAGAGAGGAAGATCTTCTGTCCAATGGTTCACTCCCCAGGTGACCGCTACGGTCGGCGCTGCGCCTATCCGAAGCCAGGAGCCAGGAGCTTCTTCCCGGTCTCCCACACGGGTGCAGGGTTCCAGAGCTTTGGACCATCTTCAGCTGCTCTCCCAGGCCACAAGCAGAGAGCTGGATGGGAAGCGGGGTTGAACTGGCACCCATATAGGATCCCAGTGAGTTCAAGGCGAGGACTTTAACCACTGCGCAATCTGCTGGGCCCAAGACATCAGTTTTAAGAAGAGAATTGCTGTTTGAGTTCCGGGTGTTCCTGCAGCTTTGTAGTAGTGACAGCGACAGCCAGGACTCCTTGCAGCCATCGAGCTCCTGCTGCCGGGCTGGCCAGCTGGGTTTTGTGTTTTAAAATTATTTGTTTGTTTGCTTGCTTTTACTTATTTGAAGTTCAGAGATGCAGAGACATTTTCCAACTTCTGGTTCATTCCCCAGATGGTGAAGATCTGCCAAAGCTGACCCAGGCCTCCCCTCTCCGTGGCAGGAGCCCAACACGTGGGCCGGTTCAGCTGTCTGCCCAGGCTGTTAGGGAGCTGGGTTGCAAGTGGAGCAGCCAGGATACAAACCAGCATGAGGCTAACATCACAGCTTACCCACGGTGTCAGCTCTGGCCCTTAAGTAGTTGAAAGAAAAATGAAATCTTGTATCAGCAAAGGACTAAGTTAAGAGATACGCACACACAAAAGAATGCGGTGTAGCTTAAGAAGAAGTAGGGAAACCCTTGGTGACAAATAATGTGCGGTGTGTTACATGTGAAAGCAATAAGGTATGAAAGAATGCATAGAGTGTGCTACCATTTCTACGGAGAAATAACAAAATATATAGTTGTGTATGTCATCTTTGGAAAAGCGTATTAAAAAATCACAGTGCTTGCTTCTGAGAAGGAACTTAAAGAGACATACTTTTTGCAAATACCCTTTAAATGTAAAGACCTTTTACAAATCGTAATCTATGCCAATGAGATCATAGCAGTTCACTCTGTTTCCCTTTGTCACTGTGGAAGTGTGTGCTTTAGTAGAGAGAGCGAAGGAGACTGAAAGCAGCTGCTTTGGGGGTGACAGAGAAATGCTTTAAAAAAAAGCAAGCTTTTTGACATTATTTGATTTTATCTGTGCATTTTGTTGTAGAAGCTTAGAAGCAATTTTAAAACAAAACTATCTCCTTTCGTTAAAATTCTCTCTTTAATTCTCAAGATGTTATGCATCTCTTGGCTCATTTCCTCCCCGCTCGTGCAGGCAGCATCAGTCGGCTCCCCCGCACGTTCTTGCTTCTCTCCGACGTGCATCTGGTAATGGCCTGGACTCCTGTAGCTTGCATACTCTCCTTGCAGGCCTGGCCCTTGCCACGCCCCAAGCCTTTGTCCCTAGTCACCAGCTGCTGTTTACTCAAACAGCAGACACCATGAGCCCTCGTAAAAATCAGGGGCTGTCAAAGCAACCGCAGTTTCTCCTCTAGCCATTCATCTGCCTCCGTGTATTCACTTTAATGAGAGCAGTTAACCTTCAGCTGTCCTCTATGAGCCAATGTCATTCCCTTCATGGAATTAAAATCAGGGTTGCATTGTTACAAAAAAAAAATATTATAGAAAGGTTATTTTATTTTCCAGGATCTAAGCTACATGAGGACAAGATGTTTTATGTCTGTCGTGTTCCAGGCCACTAGGATATTGCCTGGCACACAGTAGGTGGGGAGTGTTGGCAGGGCGGAGCAAAAGGCCATGGTGGTAAAGATATGTGAACGTTAGTTTTTTGGTGGCTCACTTTTAAAATCTGAGGTGGTGTTTGTCCCCAGGCGGATGTGAAGGTTAGCGTTAATTATGTGATTCGTAGAAAACCCGGAGTAGATGCGCTGTAATTTCTTTCCCGATTCAGTCTGCTTTAAATCATTCCTACTTCTGTAACGCAGCGGTGGGTCGCCCTGTCTCCTATCTGCCTATCCTTCCCTCTGCGCGGCAGTTCTTGCTGGCTTGCGAGCAAGATCTGCTGCATTTAGCTTCTGGGTGAATCTATGCTCAGTAACCATCATCATGGCTGCTGCATGAGCCTCCTCTGGCTGTTCTTTGCCCTTTCTTTCCAGTAAGTTTTTGTACTTAGGTAGGAAAGCTTTTGCTATTAGCAGGATGAGTTGTTGAGTTGTTTTTCTTGACATTGATGGTAGAACCTAGGAATCGTTAGCCGTAGAGTATCAGTGAATTAGAGACTTTGTTACAATGAAGCGCTTCAAGATGGGAGTTTGAGGTACCGATTCATTGCTCAGGATGTCTGTGTGGCGGTCAGTGCCTGAGCTGATTCTCGGCTCCACCTCCCTGAGCTTCCCGCTGGCAGGCATGCAGGTGCCTGAGCCTCGCCCTGGCTTTTGCTGCCATTTGGGAAATGAACTGCAGAATGGAACATTGAGCTATTCCTCTCTTTGCCTTATAGATAAATAAATAAATCTTAAAGTAATAGCCTTTAATTTAAAAAAAAAAAACTTAAAATGAAAGGTAAGGGCCCGGCGCGATAGTGCGGCAGCTTAAATACTGGCAGTGAACTTGCTGGGATCCTGTATGGGCGCTGGTGCATATCCCGGTGGTCCTGCTTCTCATCCAGCTCCCTGCTTGTGGCCTGGGAAAGCAGTCAAGGATGGCCCAAAGCCTTGGGACCCTGCACCCGTGTGGGAGACCGGGAAGAGTTTCTGGCTTCTGGCTTCGGATCAGCATAGCATCAGCCATTGCGTTCACTTAGGGAGTGAATCATTGGACGGAAGATCTTCCTCTCTGTCTCTCCTCTGGTCCCAAAATAAATAAAACTTTAAAAAAATGTAAAGGCCGGCATGATGGCCTAGCAGCTAAAGTCCTTGCCTTGAAAGCACTGGAATCCCATATAGGCGGCGGTTCTAATCCCAGCAGCATGCTTCCCATCCAACTCCCTGCTTGTGGCCTGGGAAAGCAGTCGAGGACGGCCCAAAGCCTTGGGACCCTGCACCTGCATGGGAGACCCGGAAGAGGCTCCAGGCTCCTGGCTTTGGATCAGCTCAGCTCTGGCCATTGCGGCTGCTTGGGGAGTGAAGCAATGGAATAAATATTTTAAATAAACAAATAAAGGAAATGAAAGGTAAGCTACATATTGGAAAAGATATTTGCAATGCGTATATCTCAAATAGAATTTATATCGGGGCCCGGCTCAGACAGCGTAGTGGTTAAAGTCCTCACCTTGAATGCGCTGGGATCCCATATGGCCGCCAGTTCTAATCCTGGCAGTCCTACTTCCCATCCAGCTCCCTGCCTGTGGCCTGGGAAAGCAGTCGAGGAAGGCCCAAAGCCTTGGGACCCTGCACCCGCGTAGGAGACCTGGAGGAGGTTCCTGGCTCCTGCCTTCGGATTGGCTCAGCTCCAGGCGTTGCACTTACTGGGGGAGTGAATCATCGGATGGAAGATCTTCTTCTCTGTTTCCTCCTCTCTGTATATCTACCTTTCCAATAAAAATAAATAAATCTTTTTTAAAAGAAGATTTTACATCTGTAGTATAAGAGACAATACTAAATATGTTAATCCATTTTCTGAAGTGATTTGCAAGCGTTTTTTGGTGGTTTGTCTATTTTTTCACTTTTTAGTTTGTGTGTGTGTGTGTTTTTGTTTGTTTGTTTGCTGTGTGTCTTTTGACCTATTTTAGTTCTTGGTGTTCATTTGGTTTTAGCAAGATAAGTTTACATTTTTAAAGCAGTTCTTTGTATTTATAGGCTCGTTCAATCTAAAGTTATTGAATATTCACCCATGTTTTCTTCTGATACTTTTGTTACCACCTTTCTGGACTTTATGAAATGTTTTAATGTAGTTAAAAAGTACTTTCATCTTTACAATTTTAGAAACCCTGTGAAGATTTGTTTTAAATGTAGGTTTTATTATTGTTCAGGTGATAGTGTTGAGAGCAGCAGATCAGAAGTGATAGCCCCACTGAAAAAATAGCGTGCTCCTCACTGGCCACAGACAAGGAAGTGCTCCATGAGGCAGCTGGGGGATGAGCTGTCAATGGAAGATTTTCTCTCTCTCTGTTTATCTCTCTCTTTCTCTCCCCCTCCCTTTACCCTCATTGTGACTCTTTCAAATAAATAAAATGAATCTAATTCATTTTAGAAGGATTTTCAGTTTTGGAGACTCGTTCAGTTTTTGAAGTTTGGGCATTGAAAACCAGATGTTAGTGTTTTAAAGATTCTTCCTGAGCGGACTGGGCTCAGTAGCCTAGTGGCTATCGGCCCCGCCTTGCATGCACAGGGATCCCATATGGGCACTGGTTCGTGTCCCAGCAGCTCCGCTTCTCATCCAGTTCCCTGCTTGGGGTCTGGAAAAGCAGTCAAGGATGGCTCAAAACATTGAGACCCTGCACCTGCATGGGGGACCCAGAAGCTCCGGGCTCTGGATCAGCTCGGCTCTGGCCATTGTGGCTACTTGGGGAGTGAACCACCGGATGGGAGGTCTTTCTCTCTGTCCTTCTCTCTGTAAATCTGCCTTTCCAATAAAAAGTAAATGTTTTTTAAAAATATTCCTCATGAGCACAATGAGTAAAATTTCATTTATCTTCATTCATTTCACAAATATTTAGTTTGCACCTAATGCTATGCCAGAGAGTCACTAGGGCTATATCTATATGTTTTCAAGAAGCTCATGGAAGATATATCTAGTGAAAGAAAAAAAAAGCTATGCATAGATTTCAAAAAATGTGTTGCATCAAAGTAGGCTTGTCTTTGAAACGTGTTTTGCGTGAACATTTTTTTTTTTAACCCAAGTTTCAGAGACAAATTGGTCTCCATCTGCTGATTTACCCCCAAAATGGCTGAAACAACCAGTGGGGCTGACCAGACCAGTACCAAAATCCAAACCTGTCTTTCATGTCTCCCACACGAGTGGACAGGTCCCAAGCCCCTGGACCACCCTCTGCTGCTCTCCCAGGTGCGTTAGCAGGGAACTGGATCAGGACTGGAGCAGCCAGAGCTTGAACTGGCACCCATACAGGATGCCAGCATCTTGGGTGCTGATTTGACCTTTCACTGTGACGTAAATGTCAGTCCCTCCATGAAGTTTCTCATTGCCTTGTACCAGTAAACAAAGAAATAATTCTGTCTTCATAGAGCTGCCTTTTAAATATTTTAAAAATTTTTGAGAGAGCAGGCACCAACCTGGTTCACTCCCAAAGACACTCGCAGTGACCAGGGCTGGACCTAGTGGTGCCAGGAGCCTGGCACCCCAGGTTTCCCACTGGAGGTGGCTGCCTGCCAGGGTGCCCTGTATCAGAAGCTGGAATTGGAGCTGGAGCCAGGAGGAAGACGAAATATCTTAATGCCATCCTCAGAGCAGCCTTTGGAGACATAATGCAGGGAGAGCAGGGTAAGGCCTTTGGTACCTGGGGAAAGAGACTTGGTGGCTGCTGGCACACGTTGCAGTGTTGAAGAAGGAAGGAGCTGAGCAAAGCCTTGAAGGAAAAGTGCAAAGCACTTCAGGTTGAAGGGACAGGGTACGTATCCCCAGCTTGTGTGACCCTGAGCAAGGAGGCTGCTGCAGCTGGCGAAGAATGAGCCAGGCTAGAGACCAGGGGAAAGCCAGCACTGAGGTGGGTGGGGGGGACATGAGTGGCACAGGCTGGCAGGGTGACGGCTTTCACTTAGATGAAAATGGAGAGAGGAGTGATGTGATTTAACTTGTAGAAGCGTTGCTGTGTCTGCTGACCTGAGGACCGGGAGGAGTGCAGGCAGCCAAGCAGCCGGCTCGTTTCACAGGCTGTTGTGTAGGGCCCCAGAGGAACAGGCAGCAGCCCCAAGGATGGCAAGAAATCATCAGATGGAGGCCAGCATGGTGACTTAGCAGGCTCAGCCTTGATCTGCAGCGCAAGTATCGCTGTATGGGTGCTGGTTCGTGTCCCGCCTGCTCCACTCGGATCCAGTCCCTGCTTGTGGCTTGGAAAGCAGCAGACTGACTCAGATCTTTGGGCCCCGGCACGCGTGTGGGAAGATGGGGAAGAAGCTCCTGGCTTTGTATTAGCTCAGTTCTGTTGCAGCCATTTGCGGAGTAAACCAGCAGCTAGAAGAGCGCTCTGCCTCTCCTCTCTCTCTATAAAAATCTGCCTTTCAAATAAAAGTAAAAGAAATCTTTTTTTTTTTTTTAAATGTCATCCTATTGAGTTTTTCAAAACTATTAATCAGAAGTTTAAGAAAGTTTACTCAAACATTTGATTCAGTTCATCTCGGTTGCAAAGTGTGTAATTAAACGGTATCCAAAATGTGTTTCAAGAGCTCAATGTCCTTGTCTGTGTCTTTTTTCGTGTTCTGAGAAAATGTTGTAGATGATTGTTGGAGAGTTATCCTTTAGTAAAGAACGTGAAGGATTTCTAGAACCTAGTATTGAGAAAAATTTTGTATAGAATTTGGTTTCTTAATACGTTGTCTCTATTTACACAAGCTTTGCCGCAGGAAATCTACAGAGAATTGTCCAAAGGTAAAATACACCATTGCCATGACATTCTCATGATCTCTTTGTGACATTTCTAATAAATATGTTTCATAGAAGTTTCCTTCACAAGATGGCCATAGGAAACCATCAGTGTACTTAGAAGATACAGTAGTTGTTTAGGAAAAAAGCAAGAGAGAGAGATGTCAACATAATCTAGTACTGATAACTTTTAAATCAATGAAACAGCCTCTTTTTCTGGGCAGGGTGGGGAGAGGGAGGGAGGTTTCTGAAATTATTTTTCTCTAAAAGCTAGCACTCCAAGCCCTCTCCTGTCAACAGGTACTAATTTGTTGTAGGTTAAAGATGAAAAAGGTAGGACTCTGAGAGGATGGGTATGTTTGTTGTGGTGTTTTGAAAACACCGATTAGAAAAACACAAAAGTAAACCTTCAATATCACAGTAGTTTCTAGTTAGCAGCATATGTAATTAAAATAAGGCAATATTTTAACAAAGATAAGGGAACCCTGCCTGGTAGAACCTCAGTGTTGAGAAAACTCATTGCATGCGCTACAAAAGCGAATTGTTGGGTAGAAGAAGAGTCCATCTTTCCATTTGTTACTAAAAGTAATGCTAGAATCTTTCAATGCTTAAGAGCGATTTTTAAAATTAGTCTTCCTGACCTCTTCCATAAGCAGTGTGCTTTAATGGTACCAATTCTTTGCTTACACAGTTGTTGCTTTGGGATGTATTACCTGATTTATTTTACTGTTACTCCTGCCTGTGAAATTTTGGGGTTATTCCGTAAGCTTTTAGGTAATTTGCAAGTTACATTTTAGAGGTTGACTATCTCATAACTAACTCTTGTTTTATCTTTCTTCAGAGTGAACCAACAGGTACACGTGCAAAATTCCACGTACTTTTTCTTTTCTTTGTGTCTGCAATGTTCTTCATCAGCGTCCTCTCACTTTTCAGCTACCATTGCTGGCTAGTTGGGAAAAACAGAACCACAATAGGTGAGTAGGTTAAAGTAAGTTATTACACTTCCTTAAGAAAATGAGCACAGATGAAGATGGACCCTAGAGTCCAGTAGTTGGGTAATAAGAAAATCTTAAGTATGCTTTTTATTAAAAGTAATAGTAATATGTATATAATGAATAAGGATTCGTTATTTTGAAGAAGATTGAAAAGATGAGTTTGACTTTATAAACATTTCTCATAACATGTTGTAGAGACTATGAATTTTGATAAGTAAAAGCAACCCCACATTTATAGTCTCTTTTGAAAAATCAAGTTTATGAAAGATAATAGAGCCACATGTCTTATGGAGGTTCATTCTCAGCCAAAGTGAGTTGTATCCTAATTAGCTGGGACTGGGGGGCATCCTGGGTCAAGTCAGGCTGAGCACCTGCTAGTGAATGCCGAGGTGAGGCTAGACATGCCAGTATAGATCACAGCATTCACCAACACATGCAAGACATGAGGAGAGTGAAAAGCAGGTAGAGGGGCTGTGAGAATTCACCTGCTAGGCCACTGCTCCTGCTGGTGAGCATGAGAGCTGGGACTGGGAGCAGGCCAGACTGGGCAGAGCCACACAGCCCATTGACCTGCAGGAGAGCTGAATTGTGGGGAGAGCCAGGCTGGGATAAACAATCATATCCACTAGTGCATGCATGAGCCACAGGAAGTGTGGGCTGGATGGGCTTTAATGCAGCATCAGCTAGCAGGTGCTGGGACTCAGGGCAAGTCCTATCAGGCTATACTGCAGAACCACCTGGAAAGCGTACCATCCAACGCTGGGAGTGGGCCTGGTAGAAGTAGAAGAGGGTACCCCTGACACTGGTGAGCATGAAAACCAGGGCTGAGGGAGACCTGGCTGGACAGGCAGTGCCACCCACTAGCATGAGTGTGGGTTGGATAGTGGGGTAGGTTGGGCTGAGCTAGCCTCCAAAACCCATTGATGTGTGAGAGCCAAATGGGATGTGAAGCAGAGCAGACCCATCTGCTACACACACCATTAAGTGCAGGAACCATGGCTGGGGTGGACCTGGTGGGGGCGGTTATTAGGGGTCACTCCACCTAGCTGGAGTTTGTAATGGTGTGCTTGGCGGCCAAATGTGTGGTCAGTAGGGATGGGCTGAACTGCAGCATCCATTGGTTTGTATATTAGATGGGGCTGGAGCTGATGCAGCCACCACCAGTGTGTATAGTCTGATGCGGGTGACGGACTGAGTCAGATCATGTACTGACTGGCACACACAGGAATCAGTTCATCAATGGTGAGGTTTCTTTGGTGAATCCCCCAACTGGATCACTGGACTCAGAACTCCAACCACGGGGAAGAATGTCAGGATCTGTGGTCTGACTGTGGAGGGCATGTTACAACGGTATCTCCTCAGCCGTTGACACCCTGCAGTAGAGAGCATGCTCAGATGCACATGGGGGACGTGATAACCAGCTCACTGAGGCCTGCAGAGGATGTCTAGCACCATGGAGGGCAGAAAAATTAGACTTGCTTATTTTTATTGGAAATTGAGATTTGCAGAGAAGGAGAGACATATTCTGTTCACTGATTCACTCCTCTAGTGGCCACAATGGCCAGAGCTAAGTCCACCAGGAGCCAGGAGTCCCCTTCAGGCCTTCCACACAGGCACAGGGTCCCAAGGCCTTGGACCATTCTCAACTGCCTTCACAGGCCACAAGCAGGGAGCTGGACAGCAAGTGGAGCAGCTGGGACATGAACCAGCGCCCATATGGGATCCCGGTACACAAAAGGCAAGGATTTAGCTGCTAGGCCATCACACCTGGCCCCTGCCAGATAGGCTTTAGCAGCAAGTATCTGGGTGAGTGGAGGTTATAAGAAGGACTAATGAACCTTGGAAAGATTTCCTCAGCCTTGGAGCAACAAAATTAACAGCATCTCAACTATCAAAAGCACTTGAGTAGTGCTTTTGGAGCATGCCACACATCGGGGACCCTGGGGTGACATCCGTAGGGCGTCCCCCATCCCTAGCTGCTAATGGCACTTGGGCTGTTGGGAGCAACCCTCTCCCCTTCTCTCCCCACTTTCCCCAGGTAAAAGGAAGAAAAAAAAGGAGATTGGAAACAATTGTCTCATCCACTTTCCTCCCATTGCTTGACGCTCTGCATCCTAACTGGTGCTCTGCATGGGCAAGCATCCTTCTTAACTATAGTTAAACATGATCAAAAATAAAATAAACGTATTTTAAAAAGAAAAGAAGAGGAGCAGCCAAGACATGAACCAGCCACCTTGTGGGATTCTGGCACTGCAGGCAGGGGATTAGCCTGTGCCCCCCATGTGACTGACATATGTTCCATATTTGAGGCCAAATGTGGGGTGCCTCATTTGTATCAGTTATTGAAATCTACATGTTAGTTCTCTAACATCAGAATTCCTTTTCTTTTTGCTCATTTTAAAAAATGAAAATACAGGGGAAAATGTCAGCAACGTATTCAAGTAACTGAACAAGCATGGCAGAGATGTGGCCGTGGCCGTGAGTGAGGTGTCGGCGAGGAGGCAGCACGATGCTTTAGTTGAGTGTGTGTGCACCTGCCAATGTAGCAGGGTCGGGAATAGGAATTTGTTGTTGGCAATGTTTTGTCAGAAACTTAAAAACCACCTCTAGTCACGGCCGTGAATCTGCCAGGACCACTGCAAGGAAGAGGATCCTTTTCATTTTATGTGATACTGAGTTATGCAAGTTATGGAGGTTTCCCACCTGTGATTTTTCTGCGCTTCCCCAGCTCCCCATCCACTGTGGACCTCCCCAGCAGCCAGGAACCAGGAACTCTTCCGGGTCTCCCATGCAGGTGCAGGATCCCAAGGCTTTGGGCCGTCCTCAACTGCTTTCCCAGGCCACAGGCAGGGAGCTGGATGGGAAGTGGAGCTGCGGGGTTTAGAACCGGCATCCGTATGGGATCCCGGTGTGTGCAAGGTGAGGACTTTAACCATTGCGCTATCGCGCTGGGCCCGTACCTCACCCCTCTTACATAGAAAGAAGATGGCTCCTGTGAGTTAATCACTTTTCCATGCTCCTTAGTTAGAAATGCTGAAAAAGTAGCCTGCTTGCCAGGTGCAGCCCAGAAGACCTCCTTCAGCAGCAGACATCACAGACCTTATGTAGGACACTAGATATTTTCCTCTTCAAAATTAATAAATCCGGTGATGGTGGGCTTGTTTTCCCCATTCAGCTCCGGCCATTGCAGCTTCTTGGGGAGTGAATCAATGGACAGAAGATCTGTCTCTCCTCCTCTCTGTATATCTGACTTTCCAATAAAAATAAAATAAATCTTTTTAAAAAAGAAAACCCAATAAGGTTTTACCTCATCCCAGTTAGAGTGGCTAACACCTGGAAGACAGATAACAGATACTAGTGAAGATGTGATGAAAAAGTTACTCTAATTCACTGTTGGTTGGGGTCTCCAGCGCCACATCGGGAGATAACGTGTTAGAATTCAAAAACTGTGCATGATTCAAAGCGAAGAGCTTAGGGGTAAGACAAGGAGAGAAAAGAAAGGCTGAGTGAGAAGACGAAAACGTGGAGTCCGCAGTCAGTGGTAGAGTTGGGGGCGGAGCATTCCCCAAAGCAACCTCACCAAAGGTGAGCCCAGACTGACTCCTGTGTGTGCCAGCCAGTGTGGGGTCCAGCTCAGTCCTTCACTCACATCAACTTACACACACACTGTAGGTTCCAGTCACCTGGTCAGTTCCATCCCCAGCTCCTCTCATACTCAAACCAGTGGATGCTGTGCCCAGCCCAACCCTGCCTACCATGCACTTTGCTCTCTCACACACGAGCAGGAATTGTATAGCCTCATTGGAGTGATCCCCAATAACTATTACCAGGTCTGATCCATGTTTCCTGCATATGCCAGTGTGTGGAGCAGATAGTCCAGTCAGTTCTACATCCCATTCAGCTCTTATGTTTACTAGTGGATTTTGGAGCCTAGCTCAGCCCCGCTAACCCCCCTATCCAGTACACAGTTATACAAGTGGGTGCCTGTCCAGCCAGGGCTACTCTAAGCCCAGGTTTTCATGCTCCCTGGTGGATACTGCAGCCCATCAGAGGGGTGCCCACACTTTCCCTACTAGTCCCACTCCTAACCCTGGATCTTGCACTTTCCAGGTGGTTCTGCAATCTAGTCTGACAGGACTCTTCCCTAGTTCCAGCACTTGTCAGCTGATGCTGTGACAAAACCTAACCAAACTGGACTCATTCTGGTTCATGCATGCACCAGTCAATATGGTCACTTAGCCCAACCTGGCTCTGCTCCTGATTCAGCTCACATGCAGTCCAATAAGTTTTGTAGCCCTGCCCATCCTGGTCTGCCCCCAGTCCTAGCTCTCACACTCACCCGTGTGAGCAGTTGCACAGCAGGGGAGCCCCTGCAGCGCCCCCACAAGGCTCGCTTCACCCACTTCTTACGTGGGTGGTCTTACGTGTGCTGGTGGCTTTTGTGACCCAATTTGGCCCACTTCACCCCAGCATTAGCTGGCAGGTATTGCAGCCTAGCCCAAGCCAGCCCCCATTCCTGGCCCTAATGTGAACTGGGCAACCTGGCCTATCCTGCGCCCCATCCATACTGTCACATCTGTCAGTGGGTGAATGGAGTGGCCAGCCTGGCATTTTCCCAGATCTGACCCACACATATGCTAATGGGTATAGTAACCTGGCCTGGTCTGTGCTGCTCCAAGTCTTAATTCTTGCACTCACCTGCAGGGTCTATGTCCTGACAAAGGAGTTTCCCAAGCTCCTCTGTCAGGTCACCTCTCAGTGGCAGACCTAACACTCATCTTTGAGTTCTTAGCCCAGCCTGACTTGGCCCACCTCCTATCATAGCAGGGGCAGTGGCCTTGCCCAAATGGCCCACATTCATTCCAGTTCTTACTGTGGGCTGCTATAACCCATCCGCACCTGGGCCACCCTCCAGACCCATCTCTTGCATGGTTCAACAGGTGCCATGACCAGCCCCACCTGCCCCACACCCACCCTGGTTCTCATGAGCACCAGCTGGTTTTGGAGCCTAGCCCAGTCTGGAACACCCCAGACCCAGCCCACCAAAGTCATGTCCAGTCCAGTTTGCCACCCCATTTTGGCTCTCGTGCTCACCAGTGGAAATCACATCCCAGCTACAACATGCCCTTGGCTCCTTAACCAGCCCTGCTCCCAAACACAGATCTTGCATGTGCCAGTGGATGCTCTGACCCAGACCAGCATAACCCATTCCTTTGCTTATGCTTTGCCCTCGATAACACTGCAGCCTGGCCTCATCTGGCCTGGCCTGGCCTGGCCTGAACCATCCCTAGTCCCAACTCTCACTGATGGATGCTACAGCCTACCTCTGCCAGCCTTCCTCGATCCCTGGCTTTCATGCAAACCAGTAGACACAATAGGCTAGTCCAGCATGGCCTGCATCCATCCTGTGCTCCTGAACGTGCTGTCATGCTGTAGTTTGGCCTGGCCTTGCCCAGTTCACATCCCTACAGCCAACCCATCATCTGCCACCAAGTGGGGCAGCCTTGCCTGGCCTTCCCAACACTCAGCCCTAACTGAAGTGCTCACAAGTGGGGATGACGACCTACCAGGGGAGTTTCTCAAGTTCCCACACCAGGCCCACTCCCAAACCCAGATCTCATATGTGCCAGTGGGTGCTAGGTCTTACTCAGCATAGTCAGCACTGCAGTGTTAGCCTTTGTGTGTGCTGGTAGCTGTTGCAGCCTGACCTGCTCCCACCCAATTTTTGGATGTACCTGCAGGTGCTGCAGCCTGGACCAGCCTGGCCTGTTCCCAACCCTAGTACTCCTAAGTGTCGTTGAGTTCCATGGTCTTGTCTAGTTTGGCCCATCACCACTCTCAGCTCTAGAGCAAACTAGCAGATGTTATAGTTCCACAGGAGTGAGCCCACATATCCTTGACAGAATTTGCCCCCAACCTTGGTTCTGTTGCATGCTGGTTAGTGTCATGGCCTATTGTGACCCATCATCTGCTCTGACACTGGCTGGTACTGTGATTCAGCCCTGCCAGATGAGCCCCCCAGCCCTAGGTTTCATTTGCACCAGTGGGTTGTGGTTGGTGGTGGTCAGTGCTAACTATCCCAGCTCAGTTCTTCCATGTGTGCAGGTGAATTAGTCTGACCATGAGGTCCTCCAGTTTCCCTCCTCAGAACTTCTTGGTCAGCCCCCTTGGTTACCTGCAAGTACGGTGGCCTTGTCGATGAAGTCCCTCAGAAGTCACTCATTATCTGCAACATATTCCCGCAGTGGGCTCTTCTCCCTCAAATCTCATAACCCCCTCCCTGAACAATCTACAGCCTCTGCGCCTGTGAGCACATGGGCTCCCCAGCCTGGTCATCTGTGGGGTATTTTGCTGGCCTGGAGCCCTGCCCGCCCACATGGGGACCTCAGCACATGAGTGGATCCCCAGACCTGGTCCTTTGGCACACATGCCAACCTAGACCCCTACCCTTGCACTCATCCAGGACCCAAGCACATGTATAGTTCCCTAGGCCCACACCAATCTGCTGGCATGCCTATCAGGGCCCCTGCCCCTGCCCCTACTCCCACACACCCACCTGGAAGCCAAGCACATGTGTGTCCCCCTGCTCTCTCCACTGGCCCCAGTCTCCCGCATGGTTCCCTGGGCCCCAGAAAGCAAGTCACTTGGGCAGCAGTGGAAGCTTCAAGCCCAAGGCTACTACTGATTCTTGTGTGGTGTTGATTTTGTATCCTGCATCTTTATCATGTTATCTGCAGGCAGCGATAACTTAACTTCCTCTTGGAAATTGGAATTTGATTTCTTTTTCTCACCTAATGGCTCTGGCGAGAACTTGCAGGGCTGTATTGAGTAGCAGTGGGGAGGTGGGGAGCCTGGTCTGGTTCCCAAGCTTCGTGAGAATGCCCCCAACTCCTTCCCATGCACTCTGATGCTGGCTGTGGATTTTCCATATGTTGAGGAATGTCCCTTCTATTTCAGTTACAAATATCAAAGTTACAGGTTTTTTCATGTTATAGATATAAGCATGAAAATATGTACCTTGTATTTTTAAATTTATTAATTTTGTATTGCATTTAACAGAATCATTCCGTGCACCCACATTTTCATATGGACCAGATGCAAATGGTTTCTCTCTTGGATGCAGTAAAAATTGGAGACAAGTCTTTGGTGATGAAAAGAAATATTGGCTGCTTCCAGTCTTTTCAAGGTAATTTATGAAATTCAGATGTCAGAAGTTGTGGAATCTGTGTAGTTTTGCTTCTCTGGTTAAATATTTTAACATTCATAGAACACAAAATGACAGTCTTATGGACATTAGGGATGAAAACTAAAGATACCTTGGTTTTATATAAAATATTTTCTCTTTTTATTAAGATAAAGGATGTTTGAAAATGAGTATTTAAAAACATGAGCTTAAGTCTTTGTAAGTAAAAAACAAAAGAATTTCCTATTAGCTTCATAAAGATTCCTTTGCTAATTTTATATATATTCTATTATCTTAAAGATCAAACACATAATGCCATTTTACCTCAAAAATGAAAAAATATATATGCAGTGTGATTCTGGTACACATATTCCCCTAATTCCCAGCCATTTTAGGCCATTAAACTGCCAACTCATTGTAGGGAAGGAAAATTATCAAGTGTTTTCACAAGTAGTGAATGAACAGCCTATTTTTTTGTCTGAAATGGGTTCTTCTGCCTCTATTTTCGAAGGATATTTTGTGTGATAAGATGTTGCTTGCATTGTTTTAATTAGTAGTCACGTATTTTTACCTTCTGTATCAAATGTGTCTTTTTTCTGATTGCTTTTTTTTTTTTTAAACTTTATCGCTGTTTTCATAAAACTTGAATGTCATATATTTTGGTTTAACTTAACTGGTTGCGATTCTTAGATCTCTTTTATTTCTTTCATCAAATTTGGAGAACCTATCAATTATTTTTCATTCTGTGGTCTTATCTTCCTCCCATTGCTGTAAGAATTCCAGCTCTTCATGTATGAAGCCCACTTCACATCCCCCTGGCTTAGTGTTTTACTGTTCATTTCAGTTGTTTTGTGCCCCATTTTGTGTGGATCTTATGGCTGTCCCTTCATGTTTTTAGGACGATTCACTTGTTATTCTGATACCAACAGTAAACTGTTGGAAAGAGTGTCAATCTTCATGTTGTTATACAGCAGACTTACAGGACAGAAGCACCTGCTACGCCCTCCATGGACATCAAATGTGCTTTAGAAGAGGGTCATTACTATTTGGGTTCAATTACGCATTGTGTGCAAGAGGGAGTGATGGTATCCCTCTCTTGATTTTTCCATAATTACATTTCTCATGGACTAGCAGTAGGCTTAGAGTTGTAACATATGAATTTCCCTTTGCTAATAGTTGTCAAAGAAGCCATCCGATCTCAAAGGGTTTGACCTCCCTTAGAAGCAGACCACAAGACAGACGTGATCTGGATTTGCTGAGGTAGACACATTTACACTCAGTCTAACAGACGTTCATGTTGACACAGCCAGGACTGTGCTGGGCAGCTCACTGGGTTGCCATCCCCGGCCTTCTAAGAGACATACTGGAATTCTCACTGTGCAATTGCAGCCTCAGCCCCAACCACTGGTTTTCTCTGATCTTCCCCAGGGAGGGAAAGAATGGCAACCCCAGGGACTGTGGGCCAGGGCCAAGGGATGGAAAGCGGCAGTGAGGAAGAGGAGGCAGATCCCAGTGGCGTCCTCCCCTTTTCTTTCACATGGTACCCAGAGATTGTCCCCAGAGTCCTTAGAACGCAGGCTGTGGCCACTGCAGCATCCGTGTTGCCTGCAAATCCTAAACGGCCAGTCTGTTCTAGTTCAGTCTCCATTGTCTCATATACTCAAGGGTTTTCTGCTCCTGCTGATTGAAACACAGGGCTATTTGTTTTGAAAGCTAATTTCTCAAAATAGGAAATCCAAAGTTCACAGTTTTTTGTTTTGTTTTGTTTTTTTTCAGGAGAGGAGATTCCCCTGCTTTAATGATGTTATTCTCTTGTCTTCTGGTTTATCTTGCGTCTTTGAAGTCAGCCTGTTACTTTTATCTGACTCTTACTCCATTACTCTGTGTGTGTTTAGGATTTGGCTGCTGTTTCTGTCATTGGTTTTAAGGGCTCTGTGGGGACTCTGCCTTAGTGACATCTGTAGTCATCAGGTCTGTGCTGTGATGGAGCCAGTAAACCTGACGCCCAGAGAACCAGCATCCCCTACAGGCACCGGTTCAAGTCGCGGCTGCTCCACTTGCAGTCTGCTACCTGCTAATGCACCTCAGGAGCAGGGCAAGTAACCAAGTGTTTGGGCCCCTGCGTCCATGGGACACTCAGAAGCAGCTCCGGGCTCCTGGCTTCGGCCGTGGTTGCAGCCACTTGGGGAGTGCATCAGTGAATGCAAGATTTCTCTCCCTCTGTGTCTCCTACAACAATCTCACTCTTAAGTACACGCATGTTAAAGTGTCTGATGGTGATCCACGGGTCATGGTTATGTCCTAGCCTCGTCTTCATTTCCCTCTTTGCTTCCGTTTTCTGGTACTATGTCTGAAAGTTAACTGATTTCTTCTTCAGCCGTATTGAATTTGGTGCTAAGCCCATCCAGTGAATTTCCCATTTCAAGTGTATTTTTCAGCTCCAGAAGTTAATCTTGATTCTTTTAATGCTTTATCCTTTCATTGTATCCATTTTTCCTTTTAATTCATGGACATATTTATAATTTTTGTTTTAAGTGGGGTTGTTTTTTTTTCCCTAATTGATAACTTTTTGGTTCTTTCCTCTTGGCTGCTTATTGCTTTGTTTTCGCTCAGTTGTGGATCACGGTTTCTGCTGCTTTTGCTGTCTAGTCTTTTGACTCAATGCTGGACTTTTTGTTTCTTTTTTATTTGAGAAGCAGAGGGAGCTCCCATTTGCTGGTTTACTCCCCGATTGCCACAACGTCCTGGGTTGGGCGAAGCAAAGCTCAGTGCGAGGGACTCTGTTGGAGTGTCCCCCGTGGGTGGCGGGCCCAGTCACCGGTGCTGCTGCAGGGCGCTTCCAGGGCTTGCAGTTGGCCAGAGTGGAGGCAGGAGCTGCTGTCTGCCTTATTGTCTGCCCTTAGAGACTCTTGTATTTAGTGTTGGTAGGCCGTTGAGTTACTTGCATCTTAGGCCTGATTACGAGTAGCCTTTTCACCAGCTAGTTTAGCCCTTCCATCAGGGAGGCTGCCTTTCCTCTCGAGGTATTCAGTAAGATCTTTCCACGTGGAGTAGTCAGACTAGAAGGTTCTGTGGCAGCTCTGTGACATCTTCTGCTTTCCACGTTCACAGGTGCAGCTTAGCATTCACTAAAAGACTCAGGGGCAACACTGGACGGGTTCATGTAGTTATTTCTATATCCCATGCTTTTCAAGCCACCTCAGGTTCTTAGATTTTCTGCCTTGGACGCCTCATTTCCATGAGATCACCTTGCACTGCTTGGTTCCTCTCCTGGTGCCAGTGTCCTGGCTGGCACAATGCTGGGGTTCATTTGGCTTCTTTTTCTTCTTTCTGAGGTCTGTAGTTCTGTGCTACCCATGTGGAAAACACAAATACTGCTCGGTTTCTGGCTCTTTCCAATGTCAAGTTTCCCACTGCTGACACAGACTCTAGGAGACAGCCTTGACAGCTCCAGTCACTGGGTCCCTGCCACTCGGAGGGCACCCTGAGCTGAGCCACCAGCTCCATTCTGGCTCGCGGCTGTTGGAGGCATCTAGGTAGTGAACCACTGGGAAGGAGTGATAGGAGTCACTGAGTCACTGTGTAGTCATCCTCTCCCCCTCCTCTTCTCCCTGTCTTTCCCTACTCCATCCAAATATATCATTTTTCTTAAAAGAAGATAAATAAGATATGAAAGTGGGGCAGGTGTGTAACCTAGGGTGAGGATGCCCGCGTTCCATGTCCGAGCGCCTGGGCTTCGTTCCAGTCCTCATTCCTCACTTCAGCATCCCACCGGTTGCACATCTCGGAAGCAGTGATGTTGCGGTGGGGGATTTGAGTTCCTGGCTTCCGGCTTTGGCCCCAGCCTAGCCCAGGCCGTTGTGGGCACAGGGGACAGACCGGCAGACGGGAGTTTTCAGTAATCTCTCTAATAATAATAATAATAATAGTAGCAGTAGTAGCAAATGTTTCGCTTTAATCTGACAATAAGACACAATTGTGCGCTTTTTAGATGATTGCAAACTTGTAAAAGGTTTTCTTTATTCACCACTGTTTCCGTTGTGATTAAGATGGTACCGAGAACCTCATGGACATACAGTAAATTTTTGTTTTATGAAGGTTGTTAAATGAATAAATTCTTGGAACTCATATCCTGTCTGAAGTGCTGAAGCTACTCAGTTAGCCACGTGTTTGAATGTCTGTGTTTGAGACGTTAGCAGGCATCATAATCTCAATAGGCCTGAAAAGATGTTATTTTAAAATATGTATGTTATATTAAAAGGATTCAAATCTTCCATGGTAATAATAGCTCTATAACTTTAGCAATTATTCTGAAATAATAAGTTATGGTATTTATTTAAGCTATAACTCTGAAATACAAGTGTTACATTTTACTCCTTTGATGAGCACTAGAATTTTTTAATGTTTGTTGAATTTCCCACTGTGCAGCTTGGGTGATGGTTGCAGTTTTCCAACTCGCCTCGTGGGGATGGATCCCGAGCAAGCTTCTGTTGCAAATCAAGATGAATTCCCCAGAAGGTGTGCTCCTTGTCCTTAAGTTCTTAATTATTCATTGCCAAGCAAGTTGTAACATGTTAGATGTACTTAACGTTTTAAGTAAATGTAAAAATCACTGCTTTGGTCATTACGAAGTACCATTGTATTCAAATTTTAAACTGGCGGCTACTGTGTGCATATGCTTTAATATGCTTAGGGTACCCATATTTTATCATCACCCCAAACATTCTGACTTGGAGAGCAGGAAGCAGAATTCTTGTTTAGGAAGTGTAGCAACACTGGGGCCGAGACGGTCGCAAAACCGCCCTGACTCGGCCAACTCGGGCACGATGAGTGTGGTGCACTGTCAGCATTCTATTATGTTGCCTTCAATCAGTTGTATGTTTTCAAAGAATTAATCATTGTACTGATTATCATTTTATTTTACAACCTATCTGATCTATAGATTTAAAGCTACAATGTCGAAATAATAAAAAGATTTGGAATTACATTTTTTTCTTATTGATTCATCTAACAAGAGATTCCATTCTCAATATTATCGTAGCAAGCAAACTTTCACAAAATCAGTGAAATCATTCATTTTAAATGAAATTGTAAAGAAGCTGGAAATATTTCTTTCCAAGTGAAACAGTTGAAATCCATTTGTTAGAAATAAGCCAGGGGGGAGGAGGGATTATACCGTGCAGGCCAACCCGCTCGCACTGCAGGAACACGGGCCTAGGGTCTCCGAGCCGAAGCCTGACACGGGAAGCTTAGAACAGCGCGGGGAGACTGGCAGAGCGCTGCCCGCCCCCAGAGGGGCTCCCAGGGGAACAGGTCGCAGAGGCAAAGCGCCTAGCCCGGCGGCCCTCCTGTTACTCCTGTTCCCTCTGCCTTTCCTTGCTCTGTTCCCTCCTCCCTGGATCTCTTAGCTAGAAAAAAAATAAGTCTACGCTGAATCACTGAATCATTTTTTCCCCTTAGATCTAAACTGCAGAGGTAGAAAGCAGAGAACTTGGGAAATGACAGGTAACTGTTTCGCACTGGCCACAGACGCAGACCCTCGCCTGCCCCCGCACTCCCTATGGCTCCTGATTAACGTGTTCTGCCGTTCAGACTGGCATCTGAAGCTTCTCCTGGCTGATTGTCTCCGTTGGCAGTGTAGGGCCGTTTGAGGGGGGCTGCGGGCATCCTCCTCTTCTGGAGATAGTTTTTCAAATAGTGCTGAGATCTCCTGAGCCCTGACATATTTAGGAGAAGGAATACTAATTTCCTGCTTATTAATTTATTAGACATTTTAATTGGACATTAAACCTGCTTACTAAAACTCTTTGATCCTCTTTTCAGTATTGGCTCAAATCAGCATTTTCCTATCAGACCGCTTAGTGAGTCCAAGAACCGTTTGTTGGACACTGAGTCTCAGTGGCTGGAGAATGGGGCTGAAGAGTGTGTCAGAGCAGGTAATAGTCTCGCCTGAAAACGCTGCCTCCTCCGGGTCAGATCCAGATCAGCAGGTCTAATAAGTGCGCGAAAGCCAAAATCATGCGGTATTTCAAAATACTGAAATATGAAACTTTGTATTGGTCGATTATATGGGGAAGGAAGATAGAGGTGTGTCTAATGCCCGGTGCTGATTTATTCCATTCTGTCAGCTTTTTGGTTTCCCATCCATCCACACATTCTTCGTTCAGATGTTGTAAGTTCTTTTGGCATTGGCTATTCACATGTTTTAGGCCTCCTTATTCTTTAAGGTTAGCACCCTGTATTGATGACGGTTATGCATCTCATGGATTGTGGGCTCGCAGAGAAGACTGAGTGAGAGTTTTAGGGTTTACCAAATTGTGTCGCTAAACGCTCAGGATTACACTGCAGCCTAAAACACCTGTGGCGGTTCTTAAAGATGACAGCCTAACACTGTCATCATCTTCCTCCACTGCACAAAGTGGTGCGACAGTCCACTCAGTTGGTAGCACCCCTGGAAAACAGCGTGCCACGAGAATTTGCTTGTTCTAGTCGTACTTTTCGCAGCATTTCAAATGGTCTCTTAGTTTACTATCCTAGACCTTCGTTAAGATCGTTAGATCCCTTGCATAGGATAAAGGGAAAAGACCATTCTGTGCATTTCTTCATTGTTTCTGCTTAACATCTGAAAAGCCAAGTAGTATCTTCGCAAGGATAAGCATCGAAACCAGCCTTTCGGCTCTGGTGCTCTGCCGCCACTTCCGGGTTCTAGGAAATAAGTGTTTGTGGCCATAATACCGAGTAGTGCTTATGTTACACCTGCTTCCACTGTAATCACTTTTCGCCATTGAGCTAGAAACTGGATGCTTCTCTTTTTCTGCCATGTCACGGTGTAATTATGTGCTTACAGGGACAAATAACCATGTTACAGTGGCAGTCGAAAATTGAGTACCTCTTGTTCTTGACTAACCATTTGAATAGGAGCAAGGTAAGACAGTATAAAGGTAATTTTCTTGAACATATGTAGTTTATTGACATTAATTTCATTGTCTGGAAACAATATGCAAAGTTTTTGGTAACTTCAGTTTTATCCACAAAATTAGGCAATACAGAAACAACTGGAAGGTGACATCTGCCAAAAATCTCATTTCCCTTACCACTTCTGAAATAACGTTAGTAAATATTTGTTGATGGATTAATGGGAAAACTAATAAATTTAGTTTAAGGTGGATACTGGACACTTGTCCAGTAGTAGCAGTAATTTGGTTAGTACCTCATTCATTCACCTTGCATTTGATTACTGTTGCTTAGTTTGCGACAGCTGCAGCAGCAGGGCACAGTTACTGGGTGACCACAGACATGCGTGGGAGATGACACATGTCTGTGACGGCTGTGACAGTGGGGCACGGCCACCAGGTGACCCAGACATGCGTGGGGGTGACACACGGCTGTGACAGCTGTGACGGCTGTGACAGTGAGGCATGGCCACCAGGTGACCCAGACATCCATGGGGTGACACATGTCTGTGACAGCTGTGACAGTGAGGCATGGCCACCAGGTGACCCAGACATCCATGGGGTGACACACATCTCTGACAGCTGTGACAGAGGGGCACAGCCACCAGGTGACCCAGACATGCGTGGGGGTGACACACGGCTGTTACAGTGGGGCACGGCCACCAGGTGACCCAGACATGCGTGGGAGATGACACATGTCTGTGACGGCTGTGACAGTGGGGCATGGCCACCAGGTGACCCAGACATGCGTGGGGGTGACACACGGCTGTGACAGTTGTGACAGCTGTGACAGTGAGGCATGGTCACCAGGTGACCCAGACATGCGTGAGGGTGACACACGGCTGTGACAGTTGTGACAGCTGTGACAGTGAGGCATGGTCACCAGGTGACCACAGACATGCGTGGGAGTGACATGTTTACTGGCATGCCTGGTCTGTATGACAGGAGTTTGCTTTCCCAAGGGATCACCTGGCACCCAGGCTGTACACACTTGAGGGCTCAAAGTCAGCTGGCAGATCCCCAGAAAACGATCCAGAGTTACAACCAGGCCCCCACAGGAGGAAGTGGTCCTGCCTGGCAGAGGGAGCTGCAACTGAAGAGAAGCTCTGGAAGCCACACGTGGCACCAGGGCTGAGAGCCTGCCACCAGGAAGCGTGGCTGTAGACAGCACTTGGCGGTCACACATGTCCTTGGTCTTCGTTTGCATGGCTGCTTAATGTAGGCAGAACATAGCACTGTCTGGTGGTGCTTCTGAGATTCCTCAGCTGACCTGCCTCCAACAGTTGCCATGGAAACTTCCTCATGCCTTAGGATGGTGTAGGTAGATAGCATGTCTCCTCATATGAGGACCAAATCAGCGGTCGGAGTTCTTAGGGACACCCTGGGGACAGCTGCAGCAGGTTAACTGTCCTGTGTCGCATCAGCTACACTGTGATCTAACTGCTCCACTCATGAATCCTGGGGAGGGGCAGATGATGGCCCTGGCTTCCACGTGGCTCACGGCTTTGGCCCAGCCCAAACCTCCCTGTTAGGATGCGTGGGTAGTGAACCAGCAGGTGAAAAGGTCTGTCTCTTTTCTCTGTGTTCAAGTGGATAAAAAAAAAAAAAGACCTCTTTGAAAACACTCTCTTGAATGCTTCAGGGAAAGAAAACCAGTCAGTGAGACCTCTTTAATACTTTCAGATTAGCTATAACATACATAGTATTAAAAAGGTTACCTCCTGTTTTGCTGTATCAGCAACTTCACACTTTAACCCACAAAACCATTTTATATTTTGAAAAAGAAAAACTTGTTTAATCAGCAGTCTTTTTCTGTTTTTCTAGGTATTTAAAACATATTATGGACTATTTTCCGTTTTATTTGCAAGAAAAGATCAGTGGCATGAGATAATTGAAGTCTAACAGAAGATATATTTTCACATGGAAGCCTTTGTGCAGTTCGCAGGACCCACAGAAGCCCTTCTCCAGAGCAGAGCGATGCCTTAATCCAGACTGTCCTTCCGCGCAGCACACTCCCAACACGGACCTGACTGAGTGCTTTCCTTGAAGTAACGCTGACTTGATATCCGATGCTATAACATGAGCTATTAACACCTGCTAACGTGGCATACGTGTTTTCTTGAGATCTGAGTTGCTGTTAGAGTTGGTTCCTAGTATCCATAGAAACGTTCATTCCTCAAACACAAGCTAAAAACATGAGTGATTTTCGGGAGGATGGTGGCTGAGAGTGATACCCAGCTTACTGCTGCTCGTACTGCATAAGGAAAAAACTCGCTTTTTTTAATTGAGTGTTTGCTAATTTATAATTACTGTTTTATACTTTTCAACCTTTTTAATAAAGTTTTTTTTTTATTTTTGGCTATAAAACAGTACTCAGAAGGATTCATATACCTAAATCTAATATTTAGAACATAGAAAACATTGCTATAATTCACTTAGTTAAAGAATTCATATAACCATGCAAGGTAGTATGTGCCTACAGCTTAAAGGAAAATTCGTCAGTTTAAAAAATGTTTTGGATTCTGCTTTTTAATTATTTTTAGTTGAACTTTCAGGGGCATTTATATGGGCAGGAAAAGACAAAGACCCATGTGTTACAGGAATATTGGATGCGATTCAAACAGGTGGCCAGAAGAGAAGCTAAGAGAAAGATAAGAAGTATCTTGGGAATTTTGATTTAGATAATGATCAGTAGCTACTTTGAAACTTTTTATAGTGATCTTTTAGCAGCTTAAAGAGAAACTAAGGATGCCATTTGAGCTAGGAAAAAAACTTGAGCTAATACAGCCAGTGACGCACGAGTCACTGCTTCCTGTAAGTGGGGGGAGGATTCTTCCCAGCATCTCCAAGTAGTGAAGATGATGGTTTCCTTCTCTGTAAAATCAGGTCACAGGGAAAAGGTGGTCTGGAATGAGTTGGACTGAATGACTTCTAACAAGTTGTTATACCTGATTTGATTTCTGTTGGCTAGTCTACTGTTAGTTTCTTTAAGGTTTTCTTTTTAACCCCCTTGGACTCAAAGGGATGAGTTGACCTTGAAAGCAGCCAGGAGTCTGACGCCAAGCATCCTGCTCTTCGCTCTCCGCTCTGTCACTTTGCATCTTGATTGCAGAGACCTAGAGTGGGCGAAGAGACAGCAGCTCCCAATCAAACTGTCACTTCAGTTGCAGATTACAGAGAAACAGTAAATGTTTAAGCGAACTTGGCTGTGTTCAGAAACACCTGGCACGTTGTGTTTGAGTGTTGTTTAGATCCAAGAGTTTGTGTGTACGTGGCTAGCAACTGCGGGGCCCTGACTTTCCCCCAGTATCTAATTCAGGCACACGATCGATCTTTATTCTTCTCCTTGGTTATCTAACATGACTACCTGTATTTACCAGGACTGCTAGCGCCTTTTCAGCTCAAGGAAGCCCTCTTACTTTGGTTATCTTTGATTTAATTTACTGCCAACATTTTGCTGCGTTCTGAATATTTAGCTAAATTTATTCAGGGGCCTACAAGTGCTATGGAAATCGGGTATTTCAACTGGCATTGATTATTGCTATCAACTGTTTGGTGGCAAAAGGTCAAAACGAAACCCTGCCAAAATTTATCATGGTTATCTTTGGTCCTTCAAACACTTGAACATCAGTGATGATACTCAAGGACAACCAAGTTGAATTTCAGGTCTAGCCATTGCCATTAAAAACAAATTCTACACATACAGCTGGGTACAGATTTACTTGAACAGCGTCTGACCAATCTCACTATGCCAAAGAGCAGCTGTAGTATATTAGTGATTAGAGATGAGCATGTTTACAGAGCTTGGTTCCATCTTTACCTAAGGATGGTTTTCTAAAAGTTTTTTACACATTTAATCATAAATGAGTTTGACGCAAGTTACTTTAAATCAAATATTCGATGTTTACTTGAACTTCTATCAGAAAGCAAATTTTAACAATGTTTACAGGATTGTTTAAAGATGATCTGACATGTGAGGTCTCCATTCGGTTATCTTTAAAGCAGATGTATTTTAAGGGCTTAGTGTTAGGACCTGCCTGTTTGGGGCAGTCAATAGATGGTAACTTTAAAAATGTGTTTCACTGGCACTGCTCTCAATGGGAAGTATTTTTAATCTATTACCAAGAAATCAATCGTATTTTTGCATTTCAACCAAGCATAACTAATGATCAGTTAGATGCAAGTAGTATGTAAATCTGAAATTCATGTTTCATATTATCTAAACTGTATTTTCCAATTTAAATTAAAATTACAATATAAATACAGAAAGGTTCATATTTTTGTAATCACTTCACTCTATTATTTTGCTGGATTACCTAAAGCAGCGACGAATTGTATTTGTATTAAAAGATTAAGAAAGCTATTACTTAGGCTTATTATATTTGTGCATGGTTACAGAGGGGTTCATGCCCATTTAAGAGAAAATATGGACACTATTTTAAAGGGGTCTTTAATATGCTTTTATATAAACAAGTACGGTGTATTTGGTCGTCCTTACTGACACGTGCCACCAGCCTTGTTTATCTCTCATTTGTATAATCATCAACCATGACTTGATGTTGGCTCTGCTTTGTCTTTTGGATGGCCTAACCTACGCTGACATGTATGTGAAGCTGTTGAAGCCTTTATTTCAAAAATAATTGATTACTTTATTAATAAATAAAGGCAAAGTCTTGTATTTGAACCATTTTTGGTTTTGTTATAAAGAATGAAAATTATTTGAGCATCGTGAAAGCCTGTAAAAGAGTGTTCAGTTAGAGAAAGAGATTGCTTAATAATTTGGGGGAAACCACCTATCCCACGGGTAACATATCAGTGCAATAAAACTGCAATTACTTATCTTTATTTAAATCCTAAAGGGGAGCCCCACACACTCACCCTCCTCTACCCCCAACTCCCGGCGCCATAGCCTAGTGGCTAAATCCTTGCCTTGCATGCACCGGGATCCCATATGGGCGCCAGTTCGTGTCCCGGCTGCTCCACTTCTCTTCCAGCTCCCTGCTTGTGGCCTGGGAAAGTGGTAGAGAACAGCCCAAGCCTTGGGACCCTGCACCTGCGTGGGAGACCTGGAAATTTTTCCTGGCTCCTGGCTTTGGATCAACTCAGCTCCAGCCATTGCAGTCTCTTAGGAAGTAAACCAGCAGACAGAAGATCTTTCTCTCTGTCTCCCCTTCTCTCTGTAAATGTAACATTGCAACAAAATAACAAATCTTTGAAAAAAAAAGTCAAAGGGGAACCCGTGTGGTGGCTAATCTTTCACCTACTGCTCCAGGATCCCATGTGGGCGCCAGTTGCTGGTCTGAGTGCGCCGGCTCAGTGGTTATGTTCTGGGAAAGTAGCAGAGATAAATGTAAGAGGAAGGAAGGAAGGAAGGAAGGAAGGAAGGAAGGAAGGAAGGAAGGAAGGAAGGAAGGAAGGAAGGAAGGAAGGAAGGAGAGAAAGGCTAGAGTTTGCCTTTACTACATAGTTTCTTTACAGAAGCCACTTTTAAGGTTTGAGTAGCACAGGTCACTGCATTGGGTTGTTAAAACGCTGGGTGGTGGACTTAGTTGGTGTAGAATTCTTTCCTGGAATCTCTATCCCATTCCCTCTCCCAGAGGCACTTTAGGTGGTGAGGCTGAGCGGGGTTCCGCTGTGATCTGACCTGTGAGCAGGCTCCTGTTGGCATCCACAAGCAGCAGGAGAGGCCAGCACAGCTGAGGCAAGCTCTCCCAGCGGATGGCAAGAGGGGCACAGGACACCACCCTGGCTTGCCCTTTCCCCTTTCTTTACATGTTGGGGTTTTTGGCAACATAGATTCATGGTGGCCGCTCTCTTTTTATCTTTTTCTGATATGAAAAGGAGAGTGCCACCAGGAGGAGGGGGGCGCTTTTCCATCCACTGGTTCATTCCCCACATGGCTGCAACAGCTTGGGCTGGACCAGGCCAGAGTCAGGCACCAGGAGCTCCAGCTAGGTCTTCCACACAGGTGACAGGAACCTGAGGACTGGGGCCGTCACCTGCTGCCTTGCAGGGTACGCGCAGGCAGGGAGTGGAAGTTGGGGACCAGCCGCTGTGACCGGGGGATGGGAGCCCGCAAGCAGCACCGCAGCGTCAGTGTCAGCTCCTCCCCTTGAGTGTGCGTCACATATTGGCCATCAAAATGCTTCCTCCCTTCTTACCTTCCCCACAAGCTTTCATCCAGCGTGCCAACTCCACGCTCTCCCCCAAGCCACCCAGAGCATTCACTGTATTTGTTACCTATTTTGTTTGACTATATAGTAAATACACACACACTTTCAACCTAACCCATTATTAGTTCTGGTTATTATTAGTTCTGGAGGCCTGGTAGATTTTTTTTTTTTGGTATTAACCTCCGCAAAATAAACACAGGGTAAGAAAGAATGAATTGCTTGATTAGCCTGTCGGTTAGATTTGTGTGTAAGCGTGGTGTTGCTGATGCTCCCGCTAAAGCTCAGGGTGATCTGAAGTTTGATGGACACGTGACATGTTTTGCTGGTGGTTACGCTGCTTGATCTCTGCAAAACATTTCAAACTGTCAGGTGCCGCCTTATGCCTTGTCCTGTTCTTAGCGATCATACAGACCGGCAGTGCGCAAATAGCAATACTTAAACAAGGCTGGAAAGATGAAATTACAACACGCAGAGTTCTCCTGTGGATCTTCCATCAACTTTTGGAAGTCCCTCCTGTATGCCTGGATTTTTTATTCTCCTTTTAGTTGGCACCAAAAACAGCTTCTTTCAGTTCCATTTTCCATTAGCTTTTCAAGGTACCCTCATATAAGGGTCATCACTGCACCGTGAGTACTGTCTGAAAAAAACAAAAGAGCAGAGACTCGCGGTGCTCCCCTCCAGCCAGGGCTGGCACACGCGGTGCCCCCCTCCAGCCAGGGCTGGCACACGCGGTGCCCCCCTCCAGCCACGGCTGGCACACGCAGTGCCCCCTCCAGCCAGGGCTGGCACACGCGGTGCCCCCCTCCAGCCAGGGCTGGCACACGCGGTGTGGTTCACCGCCGTGACACACCGTCAGCTACAACAGGACCACCTAGAGAGGACAGCGCCCACGTCCACCACAGACTGCTCTGTGTGCTCTCTATGCTGTTTTTCCTGCAAGGTGCATGTTACTTGTCAAGAAGGAAATTGGTTCCTTGGATATTCTCTCTTAGCAGGGAAAGGGGATTGTTTGAGATGGGATGCTGGGCCTGGGAAAAGAGCCCAGGCTGCTTCTACATATTACACATTAAAATTCTGCTGGCTCATGGATTTTTAAAGATTTTTTTTACATTTTATGAAACAGTTCCATATTCCCTTATCCCCTCCCCAATTCCCTTCCCCCCACCTAGTTCCTCTCTATATCATTACTAACATATAGTTATTCATATTCAGTCATATGTCCATTGCAGGCATGGACAATGGCAGAGAGTCCAGAATCCTATTGTCAAGATACAGTAAACAGTTTCATTGTAAGTCCATCTTTGGAAGCAGAAGTGCATACCACACTTCATCCTCACATCTGGATGTTAGTGTCCATTTCACAGCTACTGTACATCCCCTTAAATGAAAAGTCATAATACAAAATCAACAATAGAAAGAAAAATAGAAATTTACAATGCCATGAAGTTAAATGACATGCTACTAGCTAGATATAACAGTCTCCATTACACACCTACTATACATCCCCTTAAATGAAGAGCCACAAAACAAAATCAACATCAGGGAGAAAAAAATTACCAACACCAAGAAGTTAAACAACATGCTATTAAATGACTAACATGAAGCTGAAGAAATGAAAATCAAGAACCTTCTTGAAGAAAATGATGCCACTGCATGATGAACGAGTCATTGAAAGATTTAATCAGAAGTGTTTTGAAGAGATGAAACCAACAGAAAACAACAAAACCCATGCGATATAGTTTCTGCCGATCTTTGTTGAAGTGTGTCTCCTACAGACAATAAACAGATGGGTTTTGTTTTTTAATCCTGTGTACTAATCTGACATTTGATTGAGCTTAAGCCATTTACATTCAGAGTTTAATATGTATGGGTGGTACTTTGGTCCTGTCATTTTAGGAATGGGTTGTCCATTGGTTTAGTCTTCTGTTGACATTTTACTGGGATGTTCTTCACATTTGCCTTTGGTTTTGGTAGGTGCTATTCCTCTTCTCTGTCAAGAGAACACCTTGAAGTATCATTTGTAGGGCAGGTTTGGAAGAGGCAAATTCTTTAGCTTTTCTTTACTGTGGAAGAATTTTATTTCATTTTCAAAGATGAAAGAAAGCTTGCTGGATACATTATCCTAGGCCAACAATTTTTTTCCTTTTAGAATCTGGAATATGTCACTCCATTCTCTTCTTGCCTGTAGAGTTTCCTGTGAGAGATCTCCTGTGAGTTTAATTGGCATTCCTTTATATGTCAATTGATTTTTTTCACATACACATTTAAGGATCTTTTCCTTATGTTCAATTGAAGAGAGCTTGATGATCATGTGTCTTGGTGAGGAATGCTTTTGATCAAGCCTGTTTGGGTGTTCTGTGCCCCTCCTGCATCTTGTTTCCCAATTCTTTCTCCAGATTAGGGAAATTTTCATTGATTATTTCATTAAATACATTTGCAAACTCAGCTTCTCTTTCTGCACCTTCTGGGACTCCCATAAGTCTTATATTTGGCCTCTTAATAGTGTCTTTCAATTCTTGAATACTTTTTTTGGCCTGATCCAGCTCTGCTTCCAGCTTTTTGTTTGCTTCCCCCTGATGACAGGAAACTTCTTCTGCTTGCTTCATTTTATTTTGGAAACTCTCCACTGTACTTGTAATTTGCTCTACTGTGTTCTTAATTTCTGATATGTCAGCCTTGATTTTCTTTACTGCTTCCTTAAATCCTTTGAACTCTTGCATGAGCTTCTCATTTTTGAAGCTCATGCAATAAAATGAGTCTTATGGATTCTGTGTGCCCTATTTTCTTGATGTCTTCCTCAGTTAACTCTGAGATTGGCATAGGGTTTTGCTCCTTTGCAGGGGAGTCTTCAGTAATATTCATTGTGCCTTTGTCTCTTCTTTTGCTCTTGGTCATTGTACTTCTGGTTAGGAGAGTCTTCTCCTTGGGGCAGGTTTCTAAGCTGTGTCGCCCACAGGTCTACAATGCTATTTTACTTATTGCAGTTGGTACACAACTTTTTGCTTGCAGCCACTTGTGCCACAACCTCCAGTGAGTTCCAGGTCTGGGTGTTGGGGTCTGTGCAGTGTATGTGGGGGACACTTCGGTGTGAAGAGTATTGTTCCATTGCATGCAGGGCCGCAGGGAACATCTCGCTGTATGGCAGGGCCCCGCAGATGTCTACAACCACCTGAACGCAGCTCCACCTTCTTTTGCATGGACACTACACCACCCTGTGGAAGAATTCTAATCCATCCAGGCATTGTTTGCTACTGTGAGGCTGGCCTTTTACTCAATGTGAGCTTGGAGATTAATGTCAATAATAATGTCTTACAAAAAGGCCTTCTATTATTCCTACTGTCTTGGCTGTCCCCATTGACCTTATGCTAATCAAGGGACCTATATTTAGGCTTTCATGCTTTCCTCATTCTTTAGGTTCCCCTTTTCTTTGTGATACAAGATTGAGTTGTCAGATAAATTGTAGCAGGAACTTCTATTTTTTTATTTTTTTTTTTTTTTGGTAAAACAAATG